TTTATATTCGTCGTTATCTGCAACAATCAATAACATATCTTTAAATTTTACACATCTATCAGTAACATTAAAAAAAAATACCTAAATATGATTTTGTACAAAAATTTGTTTAGTTTTGTACCTCTGTCCTATTTATATTTTTGCTGTAAAGCAACTACGCTTGCTTGACTGTGTTTCAGTTTGAATGTATATGGTATATAATTTACAGGGTATGGAGATGTAACATCTTAATCTTCAAGTGTGACAAAGCATAAAAAGTATGTACTACCGACGTCACATAATTCACTGTGTTTTCAAAAATTATCTAAAAATGTTCACACAATACATTTTTAGTAATCTCGATTTTTAGATATATAAATCGCTGTTTCTCAAGAAAATCCTTATCATACTATCGTACGATAACAATTAATTAAAAAATTCTTAATATCAACATTCTACAAATGATAAAAATAATCTCTAGAAATTTCCGTTGAATAAAATTGAAATGTACTCGTAGGATATTACATATCTAAAAAAAATCGGAAGTCGATATCGTATGATAACAATTATTTCAAGAAAATTCTTTATAACAGCATTCTAAAATCGATAACAATATTCATTAAAAAATTCCGATAAGTAAAATTAAAAAATAGATTACATTAATTTATTATAAATGACATATATTGATATAGCTATAACTTTTATATATAAAGAACACCTAAATAACATTTTTGAATTTATTACTTACTACTAACGCAAATAAAAAAAAACAAAGTTGTACTATCTTTCGGTTGTATACAATACATATATACATATATACAAGTACGACATTAAAACATAAACATAGGTATTATGAGTAATATTTATTTTCTTATCTAATACAAAATTCGCAAATGAATGCGAACGTTATGCATTATATTACAAAATTCAAATCGGATTAGCGATTTTGAAGATTAGTGTGAACGAAAACCGTGACATGAGAGTTTTTTTTTTAAATAATATTTATCCTTATATGAAAATAGAATATATTTAAATAGTTAAAGTTAAAAAATTTCTTCTAGATCACTGCCAGCTGGTAAGATACCTAGGAAACTTACTGCATTTCCACGCTGAATAGCTATAGAAATGCGTTGGTCTGACTCAGAGTTTCAACTCCAAACGCTGCAAATATATATCCATTTCCAAGGGATACATATTTGCGGCGCTTAACAGTCGCCTGGTGTGTTGCGGCGGCACCAGCCCTCTTGGGTGTACTTGGAAGGTGAGACGGATAAATAATTGTATATCATCATCATCATCATGTCAGCCGTTAACTGCCCACTGCTGAACATAGGCCTACCCCATAAAGGCGGGATTTGCCAGTAGTCGTCATGGCTGGTGATGTTATGTTTTAAGAGGGACGCAGGTGCTCACTTCTCGACCATTAGGTTCTCTTAGTCGCCGCTCACGACACCCACGGGAAAGGAATGGCCAGCCCATTCTATGCCGGAACAAATGACAATTGTATATTACAGGATGAAGTCAAAATCATTAGCATTCTTCAACATTTACACCAAATAAATATGGGTTTAAAAAACGCCATTAAAACTTTGAGTCTTCTGTCGACCTAATGTTACGTTAGTATGTTATGTAGGCTCTACATTATTTCTCGTTCACGAAAGTTCTGTCTTAATGTATTTCATATCATTGGATAAAATTATATATTAAAGGCCTTAAGTGTAAATACATTATTGTTTATTTATTAACTGACATACTGTGTTTCCCTTATAATGATTGTATACTATGTATAAATATATATATATATATATATATATATATATATATATATATATATATATATATATATATATATATATATATATAATAGTAATATATTAAATGACACCAGTGTAACAATTACTGGTAGGCCAAATGAAAATAAAATAACAAATAAAACGGATTCCTATTTTTATATATGGCTAATAAATTTGATTTCACCTGTATACGTAAATTTTACTTTGCTAAGTTTAGTTCTGTAATAGCCTAATCAATTAATTCCACTACTGATAAGTATAAAGTTTTTTTTTTTTTGATGAATCTTGATTTAAATAAAAGATGAGCGAGGATATAATATAATGATAAAAAATAATGATGTCATTCTAACTTGTTGTTTCCGTAAAATTGACTCACTGATCTATATTTGTGGGGGGCAAGGGATTGTTAGTAATGGAGACTGAGAATCCCATTGCTAGCAATTGGAAACTATCATGGTTAATTCCTGATGAATTCATCATGATGGGCTGTCTGGCCTGTTTTCATTCTCATCTATCACCCTTCACTGGTGCTCCGCCAGCGTATCCCGTTAGCGTAGGCGGGGTTACCATATCATTTTCACCAATCAAAAAAATCTATATTTGTAAATCACCGTGACTTGATAATCTCTTATGGACTCCCGCGATACAGGTTCGCCTAGTGCGGGCTCCAATGTACTCACATTGTAAATTTCCTGTGTTTAATAAATAAATAAATGCGCCCGAGTTACCTGCTTGCAGTTATAATATAGCGGGGGAAAGGGATTGTTAGTTATGGGGTTTAATTGCCCCATTGCTAGCAATATACTCTAACAGGTCGATCTCCACGTGGTTTACCCTGGAAACCATCGTGGTTAATTCTAGTGGAATTGTCACGATGGGCTAACTAACCTACTTTTCATCCTCACCAATCATCCCTCACTGGTGCCCCGCCAGTGTATACCGATAGCGCGGGCAGGATTACCATTTCATTATCAACCATTAAAAAAAAAGTTATAATATAGCGTTGTCAGTAGATAAACAAATCCATAGATAGACAAAGATAACCAGATATCAATTCCTTATACATATCTAATTTTAATACATACCGGTACAGCGACAGCAAAACAATGCAAATACCTTGATATTACAAGTTTCAGAAAGATACTAATGACAAATATATATTAATTATTTTATAAAGTAATTAAATTACTCCGTTATCGCCATTTCACTCTGTAGTCATCGTAATAATCCGATAAACCATAGATTAAATTCTAGGAATATTTTTTTCCACGCAAAATCAAAAAATGTATTTTGTTTCGCAAAAGAAAATGAATAAAATGTCGATGAATGGTGAACGAGTACCGGTGCCAGGTTACGTGTATCTTTTACAATTTTACGTTAAAAACGATCATGCGGCTTACCTAATGGTAAGTGACTACCGCCGCAACACCAGAAGCATTGCAGGAGTGCTGCCAACCTTTAAAAAGGAAGCTCTTTTCTTGAATGTATTGTGTGCATTTATTTAATATCGTAATGCGTGGTTATTTCTAATAATAATATAGCCTTTATTCAGAACAACTTAGTACATTAAAAACACACATAAAATTTTAAAAAAAAACTTAATATAACTTATTCTAATAATTGTTTCTTACTTATTTTTTGAAGATCTGTTTGCCATTTGGCAAAGGCCTCCTCCAACCGTTTCCACTCTCGCCTATCCTGAGCCACTCTGTCCCACATTTTTCCAGCCACTTCCCTGATGTCATCATCCCATCTTATGCAGGGTCTGCCTCTTTTTCGTTTGCCGTATCCCAGGGAAGGCAAACGGAAAAGGGTATTTCTAGTATATATCAAAGTTTTATGTGCGTAAAAGAAAGTGCTTTCAAAAACGCACCAGGTCCTCCCTGGTGCGCCACTCATCCAGATAGTTGGGATTTGAGATTGAAATTTTTCCTCTTTTATTAATATACATGAACAAATCGCCGTGTGTGCCCCGGCATAAAATGGACCGCCCCTTCCTTTTCCGTGGGTGTCGTCATAGGCGACTAAGGGGGCGAGGGATGGTTAGCAAAGTACCTCTTAAAACATCCCTAAAAGCCTAACTACGGTTGCCAACCAAGCATGTACTACTGGTAAAACTCCCCTTACGGGGAAGGCTTATGTCCAGCAGTGGACAGTTAACGACTGAAATAATAATAAAAAATTAACGAATACAAATTATATGCGCGTAGTCATAGCAATAAATAGATATTTATCTTTGACGCGTGTATGATGCATTTGACATCATGAAAATTTGGTAATTTACTTTTTAGATAAGCCATTTAATAAGCATTTTTTTTTCGAACATTATCACTAAATTATATCATTATTTATTATAATTGACCTATAAACATAGTATCATAATATTTGTTATCAAATCTAATATAAATGTTACCAGAGGGAGACTTTGTACAAAAGTCGTTTATCGTTTGCTTGGACACCTCTGTCTCATTCATGTTTCTACCGTGAAGCAGTTGTGTTTGCATGGCTGTATATCGGTTTGAAAGGTGGGATATGGCAGTGGATTTACAGGGTACAGAGGAATAACACCTGAGTCCTCAGAAATGGCAACGCATGAGATTATCGTGACCGAAACAATATACTCTATTATGTCCATGGTACTTCTCATATCTATAGGCGACGGTTATCACTTTCCATCAAGTGGGCCGTCAGTTCGTTTGCCATTCTAAATTGCATAAAAAAATATGAATACTTACTTACCTAACAAGCTTTTATCATCTATATCCTAAATTCTAAACACAAAATGCACCGCCTACTTAGTTTCCTGCTTACCCCATGCTTGACAGGTAGAGAACGCCTTTAGGTGTTAAGTCCGCCATATTTACTCTTACTTGTATTATATAATTGTACATTGAAGTTTAAATAAATAAATAAATAACTAAATTGTAATTGATAAATAAAAAGTACATGTAAATTGAACGGACATAAGACGAAGTAAACTAAAAAAAATACATGATATATCTTAGTTACCGTGGTACTCTTTTTTTCAAAGAATAATATCTGAGAATTTAATGTCACACATGGGTATGACGCCAACAATAAAAAATGCTTTGACGACGGATGGACCAAGGATGTTTTTTCATAGACGTCTATAGGCTACAGTAACCGCTTACATACAGGAGAGTCGTGTGCTTGTTTGCCACTTCAACGGCATAAAATAAAATTATAATCGTAAAAAAAAACACAAAATAAATCTAAAACATTTTCTCTTCATTTATTTTCAGTGAAATAGAATTAAAGCTTCGTGTATTCATTCACTTACATGCTAATTCATGAGTAACAGTAGGTAATACAACTTTATACAGTATTAATTATTAATGAAACATATTTACGTACTGAATTATTTATCTACACATATTATTACGATAAAACACTTGGCTTATGGCTTGGCTTAAATGACAATCAAATAGCTTCTCTGCTTTATATAATATTTTACTAAGTCAGGTAGAGGGGGTACCAGTACAAAAGTCGTTTGCTTGAACACCTTTGTCCCGGGATCGGCCAGCAGTCGAAGCGACAAGAAGAGAAAGTTTGGCAGCAGCTTGGCAGCACTGAAGATACATCGCAGCAGCATCACCGCTTCGGCACCGCTACAACACCTGCGTGTGCGCCACCGCAGCAACTCGACCGAGCAGCACCGCGGCAGCGCCATCGTACTAGCAACGCGGCTATACCATCTTGTGCACCACCGTACCAGCTCCACCGTGTGCACCGCCGCACTAGCACCACCGAAGCAGCAACATCGCGTGTGCACCGCCATCGCCTCAACGTCGCACCGCACGGATCCAACGAACTCACCGTAGCCAGCACCAAGGAGAGAAGACGTTGTCTGGTGCGTTTGTTGTTGCAAACGTACCAGGCAACGAACCGGCTGTCATCGGAGCGGACAGTTATATATAGTGTACTTTTTACCCAAGATTGAAGTCCATCCGGGGACAGGCATCCCCAGAATGAAGGGATCGCGGACGACTGCTTGAGAGGACGACCTGTGAAGCAGAAGGAAGGGAATCCGAAGAATTCGGAGAATGCTCTTTTCCGGCCAGGCGGCCGGACGAAAAATGGCCCTTATCAGGGCCACAGTGTACCATTACCGCAGGAGGGGGGCCAACCGCCGCTGCCCTCCAGCGCGCGCCCGTGCGCAGCGCCCGCGTATCACTTTCCATCGCGGGGAGAGAGCGTCAACTTGCGCCGCGCAACGTGCCACGGGTACGACAAACCCGCCACGCGACGATGCAACCGCGCCGTGCAGTAACCGTGTAGGCGTAACCATCCCTCGCGCCGGTTTACCGGCGACACTAGTGCATCAAGCTCAGTGCGGCGAACAAGTGCCGAGTGATAGTGCAAACAGTGTCACCAGTGCAAATCACCGGCATCAACAGCAGCATCCAGCAACGAGGACCACCACAGAGGGGCCCTCATAACAACAAGTCGCCGTAAATCGCCCGCATCACCGTCGCCAAAGACTTTGCGGAGGCGGGCAACCTCGAGCGGCATGCCACCGCCGGGGGCGGCAAAAAAGCCTCTCCGAGTTTCGGAGCGGGGGCTCGTCGAACATCTGCCGAAATCAACATTAGAGCGAGACTCGTTGATTTTGGCGCATTAAATATCCGCGGACCTCCTCTCCCAGGGAATGAAAGAGAGGATCGCCGCTCTGGTGGGGGATGAAGCGGAGATATATATTTAGCCGTCGCCTCCAATAGAGGAGATGGAGCTGGCAAGAGAGATGGGTCGATCGTACCAACTGACAGCCATACGACCAGCCCGATATATACCCAGAAGCCCAGATTCACGGCAAACGAGGGACACAAGCGTCCCTGCCAAGAGCCTTCACCGCCGCAGATATCGACTCCACTGCCACAGAGAGACCCAAGGCTGAGACCCAGGGAACTCCCAGTGCCAGCCCACTCACAGGGCCAGACATATGCGGGCGCAGTAAGGGCCCCTACGCAACCACCGGACATGACGAAAAACCAAGGCGCGGCCTCAAGCACAGCAAGAGACACTGCACCGCCTCCGCCCCCGCCAGCGGCAAAAAGACCTAGATTGCCCCCGCTAATAGTGGAATACCTGCCCGACTGGGTGCGCCACTTCAAGAACTTGAAAAAGTTGCTGAACTGCGCCCCGAACGCCCGCCCCTATGGCAAGGGGGTGAGATTCACCCCGAGGTCCGAGGATGAGTACCGTGTCATCCAGAGGTACCTCTCCGACCTCGAGAAATCGGAAAAAATAAGTTGTTTTTCCTACCAACTGCCAGCGGAGAGGAGTCTGAAAGTGGCCATCCGGGGCATACCAGCCGACACTCCAGTGGAGGACATTGCCGACGCCCTGACGGAGCTGGGATACGTTCCTGAGTACATCCGTCAGATCAAAGCACGTCAGGGCCGCCCGGGGTGCATATTTCACGCACAGATCAAGCGCACCCCAGGTATCACCCCCGGCATATACGCTATTGATGAATTACTCTGCATGCCGGGGGTGAAAATCTGCCTGGCGGGGCAAGAACGGCCCCGCGCAATGCCACCGCTGCCAAAGTTTCAGGCAGTCCTCCCATGGGTGCCACAGGAAGATGGCATGTGTCCGCTGCGGGGGTGAACACGTAGCCAGGGACTGCCCGCGGCCCAGAGAGGAGCCTCCGACCTGTGCAAACTGCGGAGAAAACCACACCGCTAACAACCCCGCCGTGCCCTGTTTTCAAAAGAGAAATAAGAAACAGAAAGGCGGGCACGGCGCCCAGAACAACAGGCCAACTCGCCGGGCGAGATAGGACGCTCCCAGGCGGCACCAACGAATCCAACCTGATGGCCGCGGCAAACCCGGCTACAGAAAGAGGAAGCAGCTGCCCGAAAAACCCCGGAAAAAGAAGAGAGGCAAGAAGAAGAAGAAAGGGAAACGCAAAGACGCACCCACTGAGGCCGCGCCGACCAAGACACAGGCTTCGGCAAAAACAACCCGTCCGCTTGCGGTCGCCGCCCCCACTAAATATGAAACCGCCACACAAAAGGCCGCATCAAGCGCGGCGCCACAACACGAAAGTGTCAAGGGGAAGATGGCGAAGCAGCCACTGGAATCCAGCACCTCCAACAACAACCACTTGATGAGGGCGATGATTAACATCTTGATGGAGGTGCTAGTCGCGGTACAAACCAGCGCAGACCCCTTACCGGTAATAACCGCGGGCCTGGTGAAACTATCGCAGCTAACATGATAAGAATAGTTCACTGGAACGCGGACGGGATCCGCAAGAAGCTGCCCCTACTGAAACTGATGCTCGTGGAGTATAAAGTCGACGTGTGTCTCATCTCGGAGACGATGCTAGGGGCCGCCGACGCACTCCACATACCGGGATACCATGCATACCGCAAGGACGTTTAGCTTACGGACGACCGAAGGGTGTATCGCGGGTTGGCTGTCCTAGTAAGGAGGAACATCGTCCACCAGCCGCTCCCACAGGTGCAACTTGGATCGATGTACGCACTTGGGATCGAGATGTGCAACAATAGAAATCCCATCCGTGTGTTTGCAGTATACAAACCGCCGACAACGAAACTTGCAACGGCCGACGTCGAGGCCCTTTTCAAGGAGCCGCTGCCGACCATCGCCGCAGGAGATTGGAACTGTAAACACACGGCTTGGAACTCCAACATAATCAGCGCCGAAGGCAGAAAACTCCTGGGGATAGTAGAGAAACTAAATATCGCTGTGCATGGTCCAGAGGTACCTACACACTATCCCCACGACGCCACAAGAATACCCGACGTGCTCGACATTGCCCTCTACAAGGGACTGGACAGCCAACTGACGCAGGAAGTCCTCTCAGAGGACGTCCAATCCGACCACCTTCCCGTGTGCATGGATATCCTGATGACCCCGGTGCTCCTGACGCCGCAGGCCCCGCGCCGCCGGACGGATTGGGGGAAATTCACGGACTTCATGCAGGACAACACGCCAACGAGGGCAATCTTAACCTCCGCCGACGTCGAACAGCTTGCGGGAGACCTGTCAGTCTCCATACAGGCCGCCATGCAAAACGCATCCCAGCCGGGAAAGGTAGCGAAAACAACTAATACCATCCCGGCTGCAATAAAGAGAAAGCTCGCCGTTAAGCGCCGACTGCGCAGAGACTGGCAGGCCACCAGATGCCCCACCACCAAAACGAGGTTAAACAAGCTTGCAGAAGAAATAAAGCGTGACATCGAGTCCCATAAAAAGGAGAGTTGGGAAAGATACGTAGAGGAAGCCGGTGACGACTGGAACAGCATTCATCGCCTGTGTCGCCGGCTAACAAATTCCCACCCCCCAGTCCGACCCCTACTGGCGAACGACGGAACACCGAGGTACCGCGCAGTAGACCGAGCGGAGATTCACGCGGATCACCTAGAGGGCCAGTTCCAGCTCAATCCATCCTCAAATAGTGATCATGTTGCACGGATAGACAACTTCGTGAAGGAGTACCTATCATCGCCACTATCACCTCACGAAGATCCGATTGTCTTTACACCGGGACAAGTGCAGCGTGAAATCAGAAAGACGAAGCCTCGGAAAGCCCCCGGCAGCGACAACATCCCAAATACGGCGCTGCGTCACCTGCCGCCGTGCACTATAGCGGCACTGACGCGCCTGTACAATGGAATAGTACGCACAGGGCATTTCCCAGACCACTGGAAGATAGGCAAAGTCATCACGCTGCCCACCAAGAACGTACTGAAACCGGAATCGTACCGGCCAGTGACGTTACTGCAACACATGTCAAAGGTGTTTGAGAAACTCCTCCTCAAACATCTACAACCACACTTAAAACCACGCCTGGAGCTGTTTGGATTTAGAGCGGAACACTCCACGACACTGCAACTGACCAGAGTCCTGCACGTCATAACGAGCGCCCACAATAAGCACGAGCACGTTATTGCAGTGTTACTGGACATGGAGAAAGCCTTCGACCGCGTGTGGCACAACGGTCTACTGTATAAAATGGCCACTCAGACCGAAACACCAAGAAGGTTGGTCCGAATAGTGGCCTTATATTCCTCCATCAAGACGCTTCATGGTGACGGTGGAACAAACCTGTTCGGGAGAGCGACCCATCCGCGCGGGTGTACCACAGGGAAGCTGCCTATCGCCTGCGCTCTACGCGCTGTTCACCGACGACATTCCCACTACCCCCGAGTCTCTCCTCGCGCTGTACGCCGACGACGCCGCCTTCATAGTGACATCCATCGGCAAGAAGCACGCAGCGCTGAAAATGCAGCGGCAACTCGACACCCTACCAAAGTGGCTGGACGACTGGAGATTGTCGGTGAATGTGCGCAAAACGCAGGCGATCTACTTCGGACAACGTCACTGCCCTCCCAAATTGCACCTGCGCGACTCCCCGATCGAGTGGTCTACCACCGTCACCTACCTGGGGGTGAACATCGACCGGCGTCTAAGTTTTAACACCCATATCAAGGGGGTCTGCAACAAGACCAGGGTGGCCAGGCACCTCCTTCGCCCAGCGTTGACAGGAAGACTCCCTCTCCAAATAAAGACGGCCATATACAAGACCTACATCCGACCGCGACTTACGTACGCAGCGCCGGCATGGTATGTCTACGCATCTGCGTCGAATAAGAAGAAACTCAGCGCGCAACAACACCTTACACTGCGCACCATCGCCGGCGCGCATAAATACGTAAGGAACGCCACCTTGGAGAGGGACCTAAAGATCCCTCCGCTGAACGAATTCATCGGCAGCCTCGCAGCGAAGATGTTCGCGCGTGCGGACGCATCGGGCTGGGACCACCTAAAGGGAATAGCGCCCCTGCACGCGCGACCTCCGGACCATAAAATACGCACGCGAACTGATAGCTCGCGTGCAAGAAAACCCAGAGGAAGACGTCATGGACACATGAAGACCCCTCCCCTCCCTCTGATGAGGGTTACAATGCCGTCCCGATCATTCAAACACTGGCAGTTTGCTGGGCCTCCCCCCACGGGGTCTCACCCGGCAGGCGAAGACCGCGCAGAGTGAACGGGGCGGCACGTTAAGAACCAGGTTCACCCCAACGACCCGCTCATATTAATGAGCGGCGGATGGAAACCACCTGAGAGGGGTAAAAAACCCCGGACAGGTTTCCCCGGCTCCCCCTAGGGGAGAGCATGAGAAGAAGACGGACCTTTGTCCCATTCGTGTCTCAACCATGAAGCAGTTGTGTTTGCATGGCTGTGTTTCAGTTTGAAGGGTGAGATATGGCAGTGGATTTACAGGGTACAGAGGAATAACACTTGATTCCTCAGCAATGGCAACGCATGGGGGGGGGGGTATAATTTTTTTTAAAACATATGGCTCAAACGAGCGTGGCTCACCTGATTGTAAGTGACTACCGCCGCCCATGATCACCCACAACACTAACGGCATTGCAGGTGTGCTGCCGACCTTTTAAAAAGGAATATGCTCTTTTCTTGAAGGTTATGATGTCGTATCGGTTCAGAAATGGACGAATATCATGGGCGAAATAACATACTCTGTTATGTCCATGTTGTTATACTCATATCTATAAGCGGCGCTTATCACTTTCCATCAGGTAGGCCGTCAACTTGTTTGCCATTCTAAATTGTATAAAAAAAAAATTCGTGAGAATTGTTTATTCTAGCTACAATTAATACAATTTTTTCATTAATTTGTACACACATTTTTCAAACATTCATTCTCATACAAATCTTGTCCTGACAATTACAAAAACAGGAAAAATAATCAAGTAAGTGTCAACATTCCGAAATGATGCTCTTCATACAATTGGAGATTGATTTTTATTTATATAGATTTCGAAAAATGCAGTAATGTTATTGTACAAAATACATTAGATATGCTGCTTATATTAATATAATAGATAAACATGGAAATAACCCATATCAAAATCATTTCAGTATTAACAACGTAATCGTGTAACATAACAACCCAAAAAAGCAAACAAAATTGCGTGAGGCAGGCTACATGAACATCTGAGTTCATACATAAAAACTTTATTTAACTTTATTCCATTAAATATTAATATGAATCTTACCGAAAACTTAACTGCATTATCTTTAGTAATAATTGCATTACGATATATATATATATATATTTCTTCATTTAACATTAGTTTAAATATTTCAACATTAGATTACGATCTACAGTTATATTATTTAAAAATGGTGCATGTCTTATCTTCTATATATACAAACAAAATCACACAAAAAAACAAAGGCTTTTTATACATTTTATTAATAATAAATAAAATAAAATAAGACTATAAGAAATTTTATTAATAATAAAATAAAATAAGACTTATCTAACTTGCCATGTGATCCTGGCATAGAATGAGCCGCCCCTTCCTTCCCGTGGGTGTCGTAAGAGACAACGTTCCTCTTAAAACGTTATAAAATTCTAACTGTAGTTGCCAACTCGCCTGCCAAGGGTGGCAGCTGCTGGCACTCCCCTCCCCTTATGTCCAGCAATAAACAGTTAATAGATGACTGACATAATAATGATTAGGTCTAACTTCATAAAAAATCTGAATATTGCATTAAAGTATGATAGTGTCGTCAGAATTATATCCAGATTGCTCCTTATCATTTTCATTATTTTTATGAATTCGACTGATGTTAGAAGACTGCCCATTATTAGTATACTCGTATCTGTTTCCTTTTATCTTCTTCGCTATTGGTTCTTCATTCACTTCTTTGCCTTTATGACTGTCTGTTTTTTCTTTATATTCACCATTACTGGTACCCGTATTTTGCGAATGTTTCTTCACATTTATATTATTATATTTATACTTTTCATGACCCCTGTAATCACCACTATTATTATTTTTTAATTGTGAAATATTCCTATCATTTGAAATCTGCATACTTGGCGGATAAATTGAATTTAATGTTATGTGCCTTGATTGATTGATATATTTTGGTAGTGTATGTTCAGACACCGTTCTCATCGTGTTATATCCATTAGTACGCTGTATTTTTCTATTATCTTGTGAACGATTTACTTGAAATTTGTTACTACTTTTGTAATTATAAGTTTTGTGCTTATCATTTTGTTTAAGGTCTTCTATCTTTCTTTTTACTTTTTTGGTGTGATCTACGTAATTGTTGTATTCTAAATTAGGATGATTTACTACAAGTCTATTATTACCATTGTCTTGATTTATTTTTCTTCGCCTATCAATATTTTCAGACAAACCTGGGTAGTTATTAAAATTAGTAAACTCAATACTCTTAGAGGTAGATGCTAACGAGGAATAATGTTGTCGTTCGTTTTGGGATTGCTTGCTATTCTTTGGTTGTGGAGTAACATGGGATAGTTGATGCGATTTTGATGAATCACGTGACGATGACGCCTCAGATACTGGTAGTGAAGACATATTTTTACTCATTTTTTTTCTATTATATATTCCTGTTTTAGCCCTTTGTGTGGAATATACATTCCTATGATATCTTGGATCCGAATAAATTTCTGCAGGTCTATTCAATTCATTATATTGACTTTCGTTTTGTTGTCTTCTTGTGTTTTCAGATGTGATTGGTTTATTATTTAAATTATTAAATTCAAAAGTTTCAGATAAATGTAATGATGATGAATTATTTTGTCGTACATCTTGATTTTGTTTACTACCCAATACTAAAGCAGAAGTTACAGTTTCATTAATCGCATCTCTGTCTCTTACTCGTATTCCTGTTTTAGCATTTTGAGTCTGACATGCAACCTTATTATAACAATCATCTTGGTAACGTATTGGAAATCTACTTGACTCCATATTTTGATCTTCGTTTCGTTGTCCTTTTGTATTTTCATGTGTGATTAGTTTGTTATTCAAAGTGTTATATTCAACATTTTTAGATAAATGTGATGTAGATAAATCATGTTGTCGTATATCTTGATGTTGCTTGCTACCATATACTAATCCAGAAGTTAGGGTTTCATTATCTCTCTCCATTACTCGTATACCTGTTTTAGCCTCTTGTATCTGATACATACCCTTATTATAAACTTGATCTGCATAGCGGATTGTAGTTCTATTTAATTCCTTATTAAGATTTTCATTTTGCTGTCCTGTTGTGTTTTCATTCACATTGTTATTAAAATTATTATATTTAGTATTATTAGATAAATATGGTGAAGATGAATCATGCTGTTGTGCGTCTTGATGTTGCTTACTACCAGATACTAATGTAAAAGTCAATGTTTCGTTTATTTTATCTCTGTCTTTTACTCGTATTCCTGTTTTTGTCTGTTGGCCATGACATACATCTTTACTAAAACCTTGATCCTGAGGGCTTACTGCAACTCTATTTAGTTCATTGTTTTGATTTTCTTTTCGTTGTCCATCATTCATAGAAGATGAATCCGTATTCATAGATGAGACTACATTATTATTCATTTCAGTACTCTTAGAGAAACATGGTAATGATGAATAACTTTGTTGTGCATCTTGATTTTGGTTGCCAATATTTTGCTGGCGAGGTAAAAGACTAAGTTTATTCAAGATTGATGTAGCACATAATGATGGCGGCTCAGATGTTACTGTGGAGGTTACCGGTAAAAAACTATATAAAGCAGGTACTGAACCTGGAAACGATATCTGCGATTGTAGATGTCCTGTTGGAGGTGAACGTTGTAAAGTTTGTGACTGTGAAGGGTGTAATGCTGAAGGTGATTTCTGTGGCATCGTTAACAATTGCGGAGGCTGACGTGAGGTAAATGTATTATTACAAGACTCTAAACTGTTTTTATCCAATTTCTTTGCATCATTTCTATTCGAGTGACTTAGATAATTTGTGTTTTGAGGTTTTCTATTGGAACCAGTATAAGATCTGGAAACTGGTAATATTTTTTCCGTGTCATGTTTACGATCTATTGTTAGTATTTTTTTATTCATTGAAATCTCTTCTCTAGACTGATAAGAATTGATTTGTTTCATTCCATTTTGATTTGATTGATTGATTCCACATACATCATGAGATTCTCCTTCGACTTGTAAATGTTTCGAATTCCCATTCGATGAGATATATTTATGATTGGAAGCATCGTTATCACATGATTTATTTAGTTCAATCTCAGAAAACGGAGATTCATTTTCTTTTTTTGAATCATTAATGTTCCTATTTGCAGTTTCAACGTTGTGTAAAATATTCCTTTTTGTATTGTTTGAAAGATCTTTATCATATTTCTTACTTTTCGTATCATTCTTAGTATTTTTATTTGATTGTATTTTTTGTTTGATTGATTTATCTAAATCATTATTATCTTTAAAAAATTTTTCACACATTGTATGTATTAATGTGTCAGTACTAATCTTATTACACATTTCTTTCTTACTTATTCCTTCATCATTGAGACCACTAGATACAAGTGTTTTAGTCTTATGGCTATTATTGATTGAAGTTATAGTAGTTCCAATACCTTTCAATGCCGTAGCGACTTTTGAATATGTATTATGGTTATCTAAATCCATTCCATTTTGCACATATTGCTCACAATTCACTTCGTCGTCTGTATCTGAATCAATAACAATGTTAGTCTGTATAACTTTAACACCTATCAGTCTATTGGTGCATGTTTCTTTACTATTAAGACTTGCTCTTCTATTAATCCATCTTCTGCTACCTAAAGGAAATCTAACACAATCGATAACTTTGATGCTGAGTGGGCAACAAGTGGTTAATAGTTTAATATTATTTGTATTATTAAGGAAAGATATTGGCACAAAAGATTTTTTTCTGTATGAAGACACAGGTATCAAGTCTTCCTTGTTATTTTGTATTTCGTCTATTGAGTGTTTATTCTCATCGATATCTGTAACAAATTATATATTTATTACAAATTATATATATCAAAATTGTTAAACAGTGTAAAACAAAATTCTTTCACCAGAATTAGTTTTAAAGCCAAAAGGATATATAGTCACATAAATTTAATTAAATTAAAAATAATTTAAATGATACATGTAGTAATATTACCCTTTAACCAGTCCAGGATTAATACTTCGAATTAATCAAAAATTAATTAGGATTTACAAACAACTACATCGAACATAAGAAAAGGAAAATATTAACAAAATATTTTACAAATCCACGACTTTGTATTTTAAATTTAAAATAATTAAACTGTTTTAACAAAACGTGAGGAGACTTCGTTAAATTGCTGGTGCTTTATGTAAATGAAATCTCAAGTTTATGTAACTAGCGTAAACTGTACAAATATTTACATTACGGCTGCGTTTACATTTGTATTAGAAACTGAGTTTCTGGAATCATTTGCTAGAGGTGCAGCTGAGTTTTGGATACAAATTATCAAGATAAATGCTAACTCTGATCTCAGAGTTATGGGCCTTTGAAAGTTAGGATAAAATTGGTTTAGGATAAAACAAAAAATTAAAATTAAATTAAAATTAAAAAATTTAGGATAAAACAAAAAATAATAGAAATAATCTTTATTTAAATAAATTTGTTTATAAGCTATTATAATTATTTCTTGTAATTGTTTATATTTATAATAAGTTTACTATTGTAATCTTTTGGAGAAAACAATAAAGAGTATCTATCTATGAATATTCTCTTTTTAAGACTCCACCATTGGGTTCAGATTGCTATTTTTTTCTTGTTATTTACTATAAATTAATTACACAAAAGTAAACTTTGAAATTTCCGTATTAAATAAAAGCTTGTTTAACAATTACCCATTTGGGAAGTAATAAAAATTCGCATCTGACAACCCTGGAGCGAGAACAAGTAAACAATAAATCGTTTACGTTCCATTGTTTGCTTGCGGTCTTGTATGATTCATATAAACGTGGCCAGAATTATTTGTACTGATGAATCACTTTATATTATTAATTACACTATTGTCTCTGTCTGGAGGAGTCAAGGAGTCAAGGATCTCAGTACATACGTAACATGTAAACTAATATAGTTATCTTAACAGTGACGTGGAAATTTACATTAGTTTAAGGCCGTGTGATCGCGTGTGTGGTCCCGGCATAGAATGGGCCATCACTTCCTTTCCGGTGGGTGTTATAAGAGCCGACTAAGGGAGAGCGAGGGATGAGCAACAGCGTTCTTCTTAATACATCTCTAAAGCCTAACTGCGGTTACCAATCCGCCTGTCAAGCGTGGCAATTACTAGCAACCCCCCCCTCAAGGGGAGGCTTATGTTAGCAGTGGACAGTTAAAGGCTGACATGATGATGACGAGTTTAAGTGCTATATGAACAAAATTTGATACAAATATAAATCATATTCAACATAAGTTAACATTACGATACTTTTATCCTAAACCATGCGAACAAATCCGTGGGATATATATATATATTAATATTTTTTTATACAACTTAGAATGGCAAACAAGCTGACGGCCCACCTGATGGAAAGTGGTAACCGTCGCCTATAGACATGAGCAGCACCATGGACATAACAGAGTATTTATATTATTAGTGAAACTTACCAACTAATTCCTTATTGCCTATATTCCTTATATCCCTATTGCTACATCCCGTCTGATCATATTTGATCAATGTTTCCCTATTGCTACATCCTTCCTGATCATTATTGAACAGTGATATAATATCGCTGAATTCTTCCTCGTCGACTGCATTCATGGGCGGCATTATTACAATCTGATGACAAACAGTAATGAATACTTATATATATATATATAAACAATTATAATTATATATCTAACTCTTTTTGCGAGATTAACACGCACAAAAATTTTTTATACATGAAACAAAACAAACACATATTACGCATATATTAAAGTTAATTTAAACTGTATATTATAGTATCGTACCTTTATATATATATATATATATATATATATATATATATATATATATATATATATATATATATATATATATATATATATATATATATATATATATATATATATATTATATATATATATATATATGTATATATATATATATATATATATATATATATATATATATTATCGTGTTTTATATGTCTTTTTTACAATACATATAAAACACGAGACACTGTCTCGCCCATGATGCCCCCCATGCGTTACCATTGCTGAAGACTCAGATGTTATTCCTCTGTACCCAGTAAATTCACACCATGTCCCACCCTTCAAACCGAAACACAGCCATGCAAACACAACTGCTTCACAGTTGAAACACGAATGGGACAGAGGTACCTAAGCAATCGACTTTTGTACAAAGTCTCCCTCAGGTAGATTAGTATAGTTTCCAAGGAAGACCGCGAAGAGGTCGACCTATCAGGGTACACTGCTAGCAATGGGTCTAGTAATCCTCATTACTAACAATCCCTCCTCTCCCCTCAATAGTACACGTGATTACAACGGCAGTAACAATCAAATACAAACTTACGTGATGTTAAATAATTTCTTATATTAATTACTTGGTACACACATTTATTTACCTTTACACAGATATAAATATAGGTACTTTACAAAACCAAGCCAATAACCAAGAAGTAGAGTTATCGAGCGACACTTTCGAGACAAACTTCAAAGAAAGAACTGAGGATGAGGGCCTTTTATACTAATTTATATATATTGATAAGTCTCAATATTTATCTTTACCGTGCTTGGAGACAACTTAGTTAAACGAAGGAAATACAGTGGTACCTCGATATACAAGTGTTTTGTGATACGAGCCGCCGAGCGACCGATATTTTGCTTCGAAATGAGAGCATGATTTGAGATACGAGGAATCGCAAACTGCACACCACCCCAACATGCGGGGTGGATGTTGGTGTCTAACAGTTTCTCCCACCTTTGACTAATACTTAACAAAAACAACAGAGGCGGTTTTATGGGAGTACAGATTAATGGCATTTCAATTAATTTCAATGGGGAAAATTGTTTTGAGATACAAGCAATTTCACATACAAACAAGGTTACGGAACGAATTAAACTCGTATACCGAGGTAGATAGATAGATAGATAGATAAACACTTTATTTGAGCCATTTATGACACATGTAAATTAACAAATGAGTTTATACAATCAGATTATTTACACTTTTTTCAAATATAAAACAAAAGATGAAGTATGGAAATATGTTTTCACCAAGTGTGTCGCAGTGACCCAAATAGGCTACAGCTCAGTGATAATTTTGCTTAAAAGCAAAGCACTGATTTTCGGCTACAGCCTTAAGTTAGGCTACACGGACGCGTGCAACAAACCCAGAGTGTAACATGTGCAACCGATTTAACAGACAAAGATAAAATTGTATAATATAGATACATACTTACATAAATGATGCATAAATAATATATATATACATATACAGGTACCACTGTATTTTCTTTTTGTTGGATAAAAATGGAATGGTAACCCCGCCTGCGCTAACGGTATACGCTGGCGGAATACCAGTGAAGGGTGATCGATGAGAATGAAAACAGACCAGTTAACCTATCATGATAAATTCATCATGAAGAATTAATCATGACAGTTTCCAGGGGGAACCGCGTGGAGGTCTACCTGGTTGGGTATATTGCTAGCAATGGGATTTTTAATCTCCATTACTAACAATCCCTTTCCCCCCTGTACCACTGTATTAGTAAGTGTACGTGACCTAAGACTCTAGAGTTTCTATCTGAACACATTATTTAATATTCCCATATGTTTCTTTGTACAAATAGTTAAGTATTTGTCTGTCTCATCCAATCTTAATTACTAAGTCGTTATCATTATTTGTTACTGTCTACTGTACTTTCTATAAATATGTGTATATATGTATGTGTAATAAGTATGTGTGTATTTAACTAATATTGTAACTATACGTAAATACAAATTGAGATAACTCTTTAATATATATTGACCATTTTCAACAATAAAGTCAGTACAGTTCAGCGCAGTCTACGAGTTAGTTTTTTTTTTTTTATACAACTTAGAATGGCAAACAAGCTGACGGTCCACCTGATGGAAAGTGGTAACCGTCTCCTATAGACATGAGCAGTACCAGGGACATAACAGAGTATACTGTTTCGCCCATGATACCTCCCATGCGTTGCCATTCCTGAGGACTCAGGTGTTATTCCTCTGTACCCAGTAAATTCACGCCATATCCCACCCTTCAAACCGAAACACAGCCATGCAAACACAACTGCTTCACGGTTGAAACACGAATGGGACAGAGATAACCAAGCAATCGACTTTTGTACAAAGTCTCCTCTGGTATTCGTTTCGAATTATTAGTTTCGAAACATTAACTGTTTTGTACCCAGCTCCATAACATAGCTGCTTGAATGAGTTAACATAAAAAGATTTTGGAAGGCACCGGTTGGGTAAGTGCCTGCATCTTCAACCAAGGGTTTTTTAATGGATGATAATGGAGTGGTAACCCCGCCTACGCTAACGGTATTCGCTGCCGGGGCACCAGTGAAAGATGATAGGTAGATAATGAAAAAGTAGGTCAGTTAGTCCATCGTGATGAATACATCTGGAATTCAGCACGATGGTTTCCAGGGGGGACCCCGTGGAGGTTGACTTGACAGGGTATATTGCTAGCAATGGGACTAATATCCAGCGTTACTAACAATCCCTTTCCCCCTCTACCAAGGGTTAGGTGGTGTGCAGGATGCTCAAGAAAATGCAGAATCGATTTGATACCGGCTCTCGAGCGAATGAGTATAATGTGTGAGGAAACAAAAGGGTATCGCTCCGTGATACATTTTGTAGCCAACTGAACTGGCGTATACGCAGGAGTAATTATATTATGTTTACATCCGTGCCTCCAGTGCGACTCCATTCATGACTCCAATGCGATGCGAGAGCCACGCATTGTGAGTCTATACATTTTTTTTTTTTACTAATAATAATAATGATGACCTGATGGTAAACGGTTACTGTAGCCTATGAACGCCTGCAATACCAGAGGTACTACGTACGCATTGCCGACCCTGAAAAACCTTTTTACCGCCCTTTTGAAAAACCCTATGCTGTAGTCTATTGGGAAAACCTTGGCAGGAAGCGTATTTCGTAACCTGAGTATTCGTAGGAGAAAACATCTTTGAAACCGCGTTGTACGCGACCATCTAGGCTGTAGGATATGAGGGTGAACTCCCTGTTGATGGCGAGCCATACCATGGCAGAAAATGGCCGTGGGCATCATATTGTACAATTCCTCTGAGCACAATCCGTTGTAATAATAATAATAATAATAATGGAAAGAGAAGGAGTTGCACGGAAGGTTCTTCAAAGCCCTTCACGGGCCGTACGTAAACACGAAGACCTCCGTGCACTGGCTACAGTTCGGTGATCTCTTCGGAGAGACCGAGGGTTTTGTCTGTGCAATACAGGATCAGGTGGTTAAGGCGAACAATTACCGAAAGCACATTCTGAAGGATGGCACTGAGGACATCTGTCGGGCATGTCGCCATCCCGGAGAGTCACTCAGACATGTGCTTTCGGGTTGTTCAGCTCTTGCCAACACTGAGTACTTGCACAGACACAACCAGGTAGCCAAAATACTCCATCAAGAGCTAGCTCTGAAGTACGGCCTCGCGAATGAGAGGTTGCCGTACTATAAGTACGAGCCCCAGCCGGTCCTCGAAAGCGACAGCGTAAGTAGACCGATCCATCATCACGGACAGGACCGTTCTTGCGAACAAACCTGATATCGTGGTGATGGATCGGGCACCTCGAGGGTGTGTCACTATACCGCATGACGAGAACCTCGTGAAAGCCGAAACCGAGAAGAAGAGAAAATATCTCGACCTGGCTCACGAGGTGACCGAAATGTGGGGGGTGACATCTACCGAAATCATCCCAATCGTTATGTCGGTGAACGGTCTTATCCCAACCAGTCTGGAACAACATCTCAGACGGTTGGGATTCCGAGGCGGCTCACTCCCGGGAAAGATGCAGAAAGCGGTGCTCTTAGATTCTGCCCGCATTGTACGCCGGTTTCTCTCCCTGAGCACAACCCCGGCCGACTGTGCTTCTGCCGGGGGTTAGTTGTCTCCTCTCCTTAAGAGGGGAGATAGAATTTTAGTGAAATTTAAAAAATAATAATAATAAACTCTTTATTGCGCACAGTAAAGATGTATACAAGGAGTATTTATACAGAACGTGCATATACAAAAGGCGGCCTTATCGCTACAAGCAATCTCTTACAGACAACCTGGCATAAAGAATGGATAAGTACAGAGAGAAAGGTAGATGGCGCAAATCAGACACAGTAAATGCATAAAAAGAATCAGACAAAATGCAAAAAATTCTAAATATAAAAATAAGATTACATAACCTAAATAAACATACATATATAATAAAAATAATAATACATAAACATACATATATAATATAAATAATAATACATAAACATACATATATATAATATAAATAATAATACATAAACATAAATATACTAAATAGATCAAGATAAATCACACATAGTAAACGTCAAAGCTAATTAGAGAGATAGGAAATGAGATTTTACCTGCGTCTTGAACGAGGCAAGAGATTGCACTGATCTAATAGAACTAATCTGTTGTACTAGCGGTAGAATACGCAGAGTGAGGCAAAATCTCTGCTAAGACTTAAGGGTTCGATACCGCTTATAAAGAGATCGTTTATTTCTCATCACATATGCCTTTACTGCTTAAAACTCCACTCACAATGTACATCAATGTTCCCACGATGACATTTGTGGATCAACCTCGTAACGTACCACTGATTCTGATTTAAATAGATGTAGCAACATAATTTTCACATTTTTCCACATTTTTACACAAATGTATTTAGATAAAAATAGCTAATTTAATCGTGACTAAAAATGCGAATGAATTATTGAACAAAAAGAATTATTAAAATCTATTTCCAATGGGCGACGTACTCGCGATCACCGAAACTTTAATAAAGTTAGATTTCTATTTATTTTAAAAGTCGCTTAAAAACAGATAAGTGCATAAGACATACAATTTTTAATGAACTATTATAAATAGTCATGCTATCCCTTGTGTCGTCTATGGCCCGTCCATGTTTTGTTTTATGCAACTTAGAAACTTTAAGTGACTACCGCCGCCCATAATCACAACACCAACGACATTGCTGGTATGCTGCCGACCTTCTAAAAAGGAATATGCTCTTTTCTTGAAGATTATGTTGTCGTATCGGTTCGGAAATACTGCTGCTAGAAGTTGATTCCAAAGAGTGGTTGTGCGTGGAAGAAAGTCCAATTATTGTCCATCTATTACGTCATCTATGCCCATGTATGTCTGTGTAACGTGCCATAATATTGTGTCCAATGCTCGCTCGTTCAACGGAGCGGAACGCGCGGAGTCTTTTATCTAAACACGAGGCATTCACGGCGTCAGATTGCAATTACGATAGCATTTCGCCCGCGAGTGACGTGAAAGGAGGCAGGCCACGTGATAACAGGTTTGTTTATTTTTTTAAACGAGCCCTTTTCGAGATGACTGGCGTTTTTCATTGCATTTTAATTACGGCCAATTCGAAGGATGAATACCTAAATTTGTTTAAATCCTTACTTTAATTTTTATTCGTACTTACTTTATGAAATTCGCGTGCTGTCTTCATATAACTCGGAATATAATAGGAAAATTCTAAACAAACATTTTCATCGGAAAGCCACATTATATGTTGTTCCCTTTACATAAAAAGAATTTTGTGGAATGCACAATTTTATTAAATATTTATAAAGTATGTAATCTCAGTAGAAATATTTAAAAAAATAAAATAAAAAAATCCCCACTATATTGTAACTATTGGTTTACTTATTTTTTGTTTATTTATTTATTTTTTGATAAGGCCCCCTCTAACGTTAGAAACCTTTTGATGCATGGCTTACGAGACACCCTGTTTACACAAAAATATTCTACTTCTTTTAAAGTCGGGTTAAAAATAAATTATCATAAAATGCATATATATTTGGTATCAATATTTTTACGATTTGACAGGAAAAGTATGAATTTATTATCATCCAGTCTGTAATATATCCATCATAATACATCCATCCTGTACAGAGCGCCCACTGGCGTTAGACAACGTGAGTAACAGGGACAGCAAGTGATATGAAGCAAGACTGCTTTATTTTATTTGGCAAACAAGATAATATTGATGGTGTTTTAATACTGGCTGTTGACACTATGGTTTTTTAGAACAAGTTATTTTTTTTGTTGGTTCTATATCAGATTTTTATAAGACATGTCTCGTATTTTTTTTTTCAATAAACTTATTATTTTATTTCACAAATACGTATATGTTTTATTACTGCATCCTACTATTTGCAACAAATAATATGCAATTGAGCGATTTTTACAATATATAAATCGTTATTTGAATGTGTTAAAATATTTATATTTTTTAGTATTCCATACCTTCAAAGGAAAAAAACGGAACCCTTATAGGATCACTTCGTTGTCCGTCCGTCCGTCCGTCTGTCAAGACCCTTTTTCTTAGAAACGCGTAAAGTTATCAAGTTGAAATTAATACCGTATACTCAAATCTGCAATCTCTTAAAGCAGTGAAAATATCAAGCTTCTAAATCAACGCAATCAAAAGATACGGCCTCTTATCTTCCATTTATATCACATATTTTATCATTGTCCAAGTGTATCAAAACCTATAGGGTACTTTCCCATGATTATGAAATTTGACAAGATGCAATGTCATGTAGGTGAAGGAAAAATCCAAAAGGAAAAAACCATAAAATTTTAGTAATTTGACAAAACACATTTTTTTTTAAACTTGATGATTTTGTACGGAACCCTCGTTGTGCGGGTCCAACTCGCACTTGACCGGCTTTTTTTTTGGATGATAATGGAACGATAAGCTCGCCTACGTTAACGGTATACGCTGGCGGGGCACCAGTGAGAATGAAAAGACAAGTCAGTTAGCCCATCGTGATGTACTCACTTGGAATTGAACACAATGGTTTCCAAGGGGAACCGCGAGGAGGTCAACCTGACAGGGTGTATTGCTAGTAATGGGGCTACTAATCCCCATTATTAACAATCCCTTCTCCCCCTCAATATTTATATTTAGTATGTTACACTGTGTGGTCCCGGCATAGAATAGGCCACCCCTTCCTTTCACGTGGGTATCGAAAGAATCTAAGGGAGGGCGAAGAATGGGCAGCAGCGTCTCTGTTAAAACATCTGTAAAAGCCTAACTGCGGTTTTCAACCCGCCTGCCAAGCGTGGCAACTACTAGCAAAACTCTTCTTATGGTGAAGCCTTATGTCCAACAGTGGACAGTTAACGGCTGAAATAATAATGTTACATTTTATCATCATTATCTTAAAAGTGTTCATCTTCACACTTGAGGATGAACACACTTAAGGATGAACACTTGTCAACTTCAACATCGCAATTATCCGTCACAACCTAAAACAATTGTCAAATTTTCAATATAACTGATTATTTAAACCATTCTCTAGCGAACTGAAACATTCCGTAGCCGTGTGGTCGCCACATAAAATGGGCCATCCCTTCCTTTCCCGTTCTGAAAGTCGGTTATGATGCGCCACTTACCCTTTGCCTTTTTCTCAATATCCTCTATCCAAAGGTTGTCTGGAAGAGATTTCTTAGAGCCTTTTGTATTTTGTATTTATTATTTTTAACTTGATGCAATAAATTGTAAAATAAATAAATAAATATCCTACTTCTGAAATACATACGTACAAAGTACATAATGAGTTATAGTTAAGGGTTTAAGGCTAAGGCCTTAAAGAGCTAGAGTCTAGCTCTTTGAGGCCTTTAAGGTCTAACTGCTAGACCTTACTAATATTATAAATGTAAAAGTAATCTTGATTCCTTGCTACCTTATAGCGCCTTAGCAACTTAACCAATTTGGTATACACTAGTAAAGATATACCAAATTGCAAAGTCATTGGTTGGCAATATAGAATGAAGAAAGATGTAGGCAACTTTTTATCCCGGTCACGCAGACAAAGTCGCGGTTAAAAACTAGTCTTGTATAAATATGCTCTACGCCACGAGATAGTCAAAGATATTTGTCGAGTGATCTCCTTGAGGTAATCGTGACACAGTAAGCCCACATTTCTCCGAGTATATATAAAACAAATATGACAGTGGACGAGCTTACCGGCGACATTCGATTCAATTCGATTTTTAACGGTTCCATCAGTGAAACGTTAGACGAAAATTTAAAATGACAAAGCGAATATCGTATAGACTCGAACCCACGATTTTATAAGGTCTGTAAATAAGAGTAACGACTGGGTCCGGTGCTTTACAACATATTAGAATAACAAATATATCCATTGATCTAGAAAAAAAAAACGTACCTTAATATAACCCAAAACGCAGCTCTATCCTCTTGTTTTTTATTCAAATTTAATAATCATTAAATATATGAAACTAATTATTTTAAATTATATATAATTAATTAAGTTTGTGTAAAAGCAATTTCATTAGTGTATCATTAAATTTTTAGTTGTAATGATACCGTGGTGATCAACACTGACATGGTGAGTCGGGACGCGCTGCCTTTATACTCACTAGCCAGGGCGAGGCCCGATGACGCGCAACCAAAATATAAAATAGTTAATGCCACATTGTGATCACTTCATAAATAAATACACACTCTAATTTAATTTAAACATTACTTAAATAAATACAATAGTACCTAATCGGATAATTAATTACTAATTAAATCGTAATTTATTAATTATCCGATTATAATTAATTACTAATTAAATCATAATTTATTAATTTACCGATTAGATTATTTTGTGGAAGTCCATATCACTTTTTGATTGATTTGATTAAACTTATATTAATAATTTTTATCGACTTATTCTTTAAGAAGGAATAAATTATCTTCAAATTTGATCAAATCACACTTTCACATCGCATATCTTTCAAATCCATAAAAAAATACATATCTAAATAAAACAAGAACAACAAAAAAAAATTAAATACCTAGTAAATAAAGTTACCTTTCCTTTATACAACTTTATACAACAATAACTTTTTAACAGTTCCTATGTTTATGCAAATAAATGATTGATTGATTGACATTCTAAGAGCTTTTTTTTTAAGCGATTTACGAAAAGATTTACTCAATTAAACTGAATTGGAAATAGAAATTTAACTGTAGTGAAAAGAATCCCAGTAATTTTAATTTCAACTGTATGAAGTTATGTACTCTGTGCTTATATTAAAAATCAATAAGTACCTTAATTTTTTTTATACAACTTAGAATACCAAACATGCTGATGGCCCACCTGATGGAAAGTGATAACCGTCGCCTATAGACATGAGCAGTACCATGGACATAACAAAGTATACTTTTTCGCCCATGCGTTGCCATTCCTGAGGACTCGGATGTTGTTCCTCTGTACCCTGTAAATCCACTGCCATATCCCACCCTTCAAACCGAAACACAACCATGCAAACACAGCTGCTTCATGGTAGAAACACGAAAGGGACAGAGGTGGCCAAGCAAACGACTTTTGTGCAAAGTCACCTTCTGGTGACTCGCTCCCTACCTTACATTAATAATATGTAATGTGTAAAGAAGTAGTGACTTTTGTGTCCCACAAAAAAAACCAACTTCATTTGGAACAAAACCGGTTATTTTAATCTAAAAATTCTACTAATAGTTAATTATTATTAAATTATTATAATAATTATTATTATTATAGAATAATAATAATAAATAGATTTATTTTCTCTTCACAATTCATCACAGTGAGATACAATGAGACATGCTTATATTAAAATAATCAAATTATAAATATAATTGTGAGAGACTGGTGCCTGAGACAGGTATAAGAACTATCTGTATACTGAATCGATTTCGATAAAATTTCTACAAGACTAATTTGTCATCCTTTTAGAATCTAAAAAGATGACAGATTGGTCTAGAAGAAATTTGAAAAATTTGGAAAATTGGAATAGAAAGAAGATGTGACGAAGTTATGAGGTAACAAACATAAAAAAAAATACAACGTAATTGGGAATCTCCTTCTTTTAAAGTCGTTTGAAATTAAAAGACATTTTACTATTTAAATTATCTTTATTCATTAATTATATAATATTTTCATTTTTCTTCGATACACTAAGTAAATAAAAAATAAAATCGTGACCAAATTTTTGTTACAAAACATTCCTATTTCTAACATAATAGGAATGTGACTTATCTGTTTTGTAATTCCTGTGAACAACTAAACATTTTGTTACATTTTGTTACATTTTGTTGCATTTTGTTACATTTTGTTACATTTTGCTACATTTTGTTACATTTTGTTACATTTTGTCACATTTTGTTACATTTTGTCACACTTTGTCACATATTTAATAAAAACTTTTACACTATCAAATTAATTATATCATTTTAAGTTATATCACATTGAATCATGATTTATATTAGAGTCACTAACCAACCTGTTTCCAGTTTCTAAGGTCTCGCGTTTTACAATTAACTAGATCCTATTAATTTAATAATTAATGCCTTTTTTTAATTTTTTTTTTTAAATAACTAATTGAAGGTATATTTTCCTTGTTTTCATAGCGTATAAGGGGTGTACCTACGCATTTTATTACTACTTATTTTCAATTAATATTTATACAGAATTTAGGAAATATTTTATTTCACCTTTATTTTCTACCTTCAAGTATTGTCAAAAGGATGAGAGAAAGTGTCGACCAGCATTCGCTACTGCTATTATTCCAGTCTCTAATAACCAGCAGCATTAATAATAATAAGAATGCATTTAAACGGTATGTTGCAAATTTCACCTGTATAACGTATCTTCCTTGTTGGCAACCCTAGTTTATAGGGAGGAGAAGGATTGGTAATAACAGGGACTTTAATCTCCATTGCTAGCAATATACCCAATCAGGTCGACCTCCACGCGGTTCCCCCTGAAAACCATCGTGATTAATTATTGTCAAATTCGTCACGGTGGCTAACTGACCTGTTTTCATCCTCACCTATCATCCCTCGCTGGTGCCTACCAGTGTATATCGATAGCTCAGGTGAGTTTTTTTAATAGATGATAATGGTATGGTAACCCCACCCGCGCTAACGGTATACCCCGTGGGGCACCAGTGAAGGATGATAGGTGAAGATGAAGCAGGTCAGTTAACCCATCGTGACAAATTCAACAAGAATTGTTCACGCTGGTTTCCAGGGGGAACCACGTGGAGATCGACTTAATAGGGCATATTGCTAGCAATGGGGCTATCAAACTCCGTTGCTAACAATCCCTTTCCCCCCGCTCAGGTGGGGTTGCCATTTCATTATCATCTATTAAAACCCTAGTTGATAAGGCTAATTCGAACCCGCGAGTCCGCGGGGTGCAGTGTCTGCGGGGAGCGCGGGTCAGCCGCGAACGGCTCGCCGCGCCGCCCGGCGGACTGCTCGCCGAGCTTGTTCGCGAGCGCCGGGCTGAACCGCACGTGTTGCAGAATACGCGCCAGGCAACACTTCATTTGCATGCTCGCGAAACGTTTGCCTGCAAAGAGTAGAAGAATACATTTCATAAATAAATCGTCATAGGCGTAGAATACTGACGCATCTGACGAATATTGCATGTCCGTCATCCGTCCGTCAGAATTCTACGACTATGACGATATATTATTTATTACAGATTATTAACCCACCTCGGCCTCGCACGGATAAATACGAGTAGTTGGGGGGAGGGGGGATTGTTAGTAATGGGGAGGTTAGTCCCCATTACTATCAATGTACCCTATCCGGTCAACCTCCACGCGATTCCCCCTGGAAACTATCGTGACTAATTTATCGTTGATTTCGTCATGATAGGCTAACTGACCTGTCTTTTCATCCTCACCTATCAATCCTCACTGGTGCCCTGACGGCATATACCGTTATCACGGGCGGAATTACCATTCCATTATCATCTATTAAAAAAAAATACACCCTGCCAGATCGACCTTCACGCGGTTCCCCCTGGAAACCATCGTGGTTAATTCTAATGGAATTCGTCGCAATGGGCTAAATATCGTACTATCATGGTCACCTATCATCTGTCACTGGTGTCCCGCCAGCGTATACCAATAGCACAGACGGGATTTCCATTCCATTATCACCCATTATAAAAAAAAATTTGTAATTTGGGGGAGGAGGAAAGTTATTATTAGTAATGGGTTCTAACAGCCTCATTGCTAGCAATATACCCTGTCATATCGACCTACACACGGTTCCCCCTGGAAACCATAGTGGTTTTTTTCTTAATAAGTGATAATGGAATGGTAACCCCACCCGTACTATCGGTATACACCGGCGGGGCACCAGTTTAGGATGACAGGTGAGGATGAAGCAGATCAGTTAGCCCATCGTGGCGAATTCAACAAGAATTGTACACGATGGTTTCCTGGGGGAACCACGTGGAGGTCGACCTAATAGGGCATATTGCTAGCAATGGGTCTGTCAAACTGCATTGCTAACAATCCCTTTTCCCCCCAACCATAGTGGTTTAATTCTCAATAAATTAGACATAATGGGCCAAATGATCAGACTTCATACTCACTTATCACTTATCACCGATAGCGCAGGCGGAATTACTATTCCATTTTCACCCATTAAAATAAATCACAGAATGACGTCATTCTTAATATTTTTGATAGCATAATTCTCTGAATCATGAATTCATCAACATTCCTAATTAATTAATTATCAAGATAAATATATAAATATCATAAACTAACAATTTATTAAAAATTTATTAATTTAAAAATATAAATACATACATATAGCAGTGCAAAGGTTGCTTGATATATAATTTTTTTGGTGATAAAAGCTCTTATCACTGTACATAAGGTTTATATTTGCATGCCACTTGATGTGGCGAAACATAATGAACATCTTGTAAACTTGACAAATGCAATATTGTATCTACAATGTTTCTAGCAAATAAATTTCATAATTTCATTTATTTTTATTTTTATAAGATTCACGTCTCCCCCTTAATTAGAGGTGTTGACAAACTAACCCCCGGCAGAGGGAGGAAAGGGATACCTACATAGAGGGAATGAAATAGTACCCCTGCTTGCGCTAACGGTAGGGGTGGGGAAGAAAGGTTCTTGAGTGGGGACCCCGTACAAGCAAACGCAGTGTAGGACGACTCCCCAACTAGATGGAGTGACGATCTCAAATGCATTGCTTCTGACATAGGCATCCACTGACTTCCTGTCAGTGGATGCCTATGTCCAGCAGTGGAAAAAATTACTGACCTTTTCATCCTCACCTATCATCCCTCACTGGTGCCCCGCCAGTGTATACCGATAGCGCAGGCGAGGCTACCATTCCAACATTAAATAAAATTATAACAGGGTTAACTCACCGATGCAGGGGGAAGGGATTGTTAGTAAAATGGACTACCAGTCCCATTGCTAACAATTTACCCTAACAGGTCGACCTCCCCGTGGTACCCCCTGGAAACCATCGCGCTAAATTCCAAATGTATTCATCACGATGGGCTAACTGATCTGCTTTTTTCATTCTCATCTATCACCGCTCACTGGTGCCCCGCCAGCGTATATCAATAACGCAGGCAGGGTTACCATTCCATTATCATCCATTAAAAAAAATTGTTTAACAGAGTTAACTCACCGATGCAATAACGCGGTCCATCTCCAAATGGCATGTAGACACCAGCGGGTGGGGTCTCGTCTGACGCCCAGCGCTCCGGTACGAACGCATCGCCATCTTTGAAGTACTACAAACATAAAGAACAAGACATGAAAAATTATTGTCTTATTTATGACGAAAAATTATATTAATTTGTAATTTAATTAAAATTAATTAAATTGATGAAATTAAAATTAGATAGCTTTTATTTATAAACTAAATTCTTATAAAGTATTCTTATGTTATCACTAGTATGTTTTTTTTTATTGTTTTGTTGGTGTCAGTTTTGCATGTTTTTTTTTATTGGTGAAATAAATCAAGGTGATAAGGTCACATGAAAATAAATAAATCAAAATAAATAATTCATGTTCAAAATTAAAAGAAAAATGGTTAAAAAATAAATTTGACAGCTATGTTGTTTTTTTCTGCGATGGACATTAAAAAGGTATCCAGACACGAGCAATTTAAAGTGAACTTGTTCTTTTATATAATTTTTGGGCATTCAATGTTATGATGGAAATTTCCACCATTATGCAAAGAAGGGTATGTAATCGATGACTTAAGAAAATGTTGTGTACATCTGTAATTGGTGTAAATGCAAGATGCAAGCCCCGTATATCAATTAATATTAATATCTGTATTTACACTGTTGATGTACATTTTAAAATAAATAAATACAATTCAATAAAAAAAAATTGTATAAGCTTTAATATAAATTCTTCTGTACATAATTTAAGATTGGGTTCCAAAAAAAAAACTAGTTGTGGAAAACCAATTATTTTGATTTATTTATTTATTGGAAAAATTAAACTACAAACCTGATTTTAATCATAATAAAATAATCATCTAAGGAGACCAATCTATAAGTATATATAACATATATACTTATATATATCTTGTTTGCAAAATTATATATATATATATATATATATATATATATATAAGAATAAAATTAATCATCTATGTCTCGTGGAAGTCAAAGCAAGTCATTTTACAGTTATGGTGCGGCGAACAGGGTTAATCTAATTATATAATGTTTCATGAGTTTGGGTACCAATGTGTGTGTGTGTGTGTGTGTGTGTGTGTGTGTGTGTGTGTGTGTGTGTGTGTGTGTGTGTGTGTGTGTGTGTGTGTGTGTTGTGTGTGTGTGTGTGTGTGTGTGTGTGTGTTTGTGTGTGTGTGTGTGTGTGTGTGTGTGTGTGTGTGTGTGTGTGTGTGTGTGTGTGTGTGTGTGTGTGTGTGTGTGTGTGTGTGTGTGTATGTATGTGTGTGTGTGTATATAATATATATATATAATATACAGTTCCAATACATTAAAGTGCACTTTTTAAAATTTTTTCTGTGTCTTCGTAGGACCAAGACATCAATAATCCGTGAATGACTCTCTTTGCAATTGATAATCGGCTATCTTTTATGTCAGTAAGCCTTGTGATTTGATTGTAAATTCGTGTAAAGAGATATTTTTTGAAACGCTGTGCAAAAGTTGTTTTTATATATATATATATATATATATATATATATATATATATATATATATACACATGGCACGCCACTCCAAAATCCAAGGAATTAAAAATGTGTAAGTAAAAATTTTAACCCTCTTGCTCCGGGCCATTTAAATGCCACGCTACGAATAAATATCGGTGGCAAATTTAACAAAAAAAAATAAATTAAAATAATGCTGTAAATATTTATTAGGTATAATTTCGTTTGACGTTAGCAAAATATCAACTGAACAATTAGAGTCGAATTTTGTCGGGAAAAATTAGATATACGGGCATAAAAATTTTAGAAATATTCAAGTTGGGCATGGCACAAAAAAGGTTGGGATACACTGACGTTAACAATTTGTAGTAGTTCTTACCCGCTCGTCCCTATGCAAGGCCATTGTGGGGAAAAATACACTAGTTCCTTTCTCGACGACCACCCGTGTACCCGGTATCACATAATCCTTCGTGCACTCCCGCTGGATGAACGGGAACGGTGGATACAGGCGGAGGGTCTCTGGAAATGTACATACAGATATTGTTTTAAATAGATTAATTTTATTTATGTAAACATATCTGTTATGTCCATGAAAAGAAAATATAAAATGCACTTTCTCCCAAGCACAACCACTCGTTGGAATCAACTTCCAGCAGCAGTATTTCCAAACCGATACGACATAACAATATACTCTGTTATGTCCATGGTAATGCTCATGTCTATAGGCGACGGTTACCACTTTCCATCAGGTGGGCCGTCAGCTTGTTTGCCATTCTAAGTTGTATATAAAGAAAATCACCATGCTGCTCCGGTATAGAATGGGCCCCGACTTCGTTTCTCGTGGGTATCGTAAGAGGTAACTAAGGGAACTTATTGGTCGAAGGATAGACAGCAACATCCCTCTTCAAACATCACCAAAGCCCTCAAGATTAAATTTCACTTATGGGGATGACCTATGTTCAGCATTGGCCAGTAAACGGCTGATATAATAAAAAATGCCCGTGTGGTCCCGGCATAGAATAGGCCACCCCTTCCTTTCCCGTAGGTGTCATAAGAGGCGACTAATGGATGGTAAGGGATGGGCAGCAGCGTCCCTCTTAAAATATCTCCAAAGCCTAACGGTAGTCGCCAATCCTTCTGCCAAGCGTGGCAACTACTAGCAAACCCCACTAGGGGGAGGCTTATATTCAGCAGTGGGCAGGTAAAGGCTGACATGATGATGATGAATGGACTTTAACATTCCATTACTAGCAATATAACCTATCAGGCCGGCCTGCACGCGGTTCCCCCTGGAAACTATTGTGATTAATTCTTGTCGACTTCTTCACGTAGGGCTAACTGATTTGCTTTCATCCTCACCTGTGATCTGTAACTGGTGCTCCACCAGCGTATACCGATAGTGCAAGCGGGGATACCGTTCTATTTTTTTTTATACAACTTAGAATGGCAAACAAGCTGATGGCCCACCTGATGGACACTGGTAACCATCACCTATAGACATGAGCAGTACCATGGACATAACAGAGTATACTGTTTCGCTTTTCTCACCCAATAAAAAAAAATTGAACCAATTGGCATACATTGCAATTAAACAAAAGCTTGTAGAAACACCTCACCTTGTATCACCATGTCCATGTAAGTGAGCTCTTGCAATGCTTCATAACCAATGTTGCCTCCATGTCTCTCCATCACCTCCAGAACCTCCGCCCTCATCTTCTCCTGGATATGAGGGTGAGCAGCTAGTTCCATCACCATGAACGCCAGGGTGGAGGAAGAGGTCTCGAAACCTCCGAGCAGAAGTATGAACGCGTTTGCCGCTATCAACATGTCCGCTGGAATGATTTATAATTGTTTATTAATTAAAAAATATTACGAAAACCTCAAAAGAATATATTTCTTTTATACCACAAAGGTGGCAAATAAGCATACAGCCCGTCTGATGGTAAATTGTAGCCTATAAACGCCTGCAACACTACAGTGACACGTGCACGTTACCGACTCCGAAGAAATCTTAATATACCCTTTTTATACCCCCATACTGTAGTCTGTAGAGAAATTCTCGGCAGGGAGCTGATGGCCTACCATGAAATGAAATTCCGAAATTTCGGGCTAAATTTCGTGTTTTTGTTCGTACCGAAATCGACCCAGTAAATGGAGCTTAACATTTCGTTCATCATAAATCCTATTCTAATAGTCCAAAGGAACGATCTTTTAATATTTTTAATACTTTTAAACAGCATGTATTATGTAATTTTAACATCAAATTTCTGTTTCGTTCGTCCCCGAAATTTCGGAAAATACTTAATGGTAGGCCCTTTGATTCCACAGCCTGAGCGTTCGTGGGAGAATATACTGACCATTCAGGTTCAAGCGTGTGTGAATGAATTTCTTGTCGATGGCGAAATGTGTGACGATACATTACTACAATTTATCATAACAATGAAAAGCCTTAATCTGTTATATAATTAGTTATTATTTATATATTTATTAATTTAGTATATATTATACTATGTATGGTTATTTATATATGTATTGTATGTGATTTATATGTGTATATTTTTTGTAAGTATATTTTAGATAGATAGATAGATACTCTTTATTGTTTCCTCCAAAAGATTACAATAGTAAACTTATTATAAATATAAATAATTACAAGAAATAATCACAATGACAAAACAATGGGCGACCTTATCGCTAAGAGCGATCTCTTCCAGGCAACCTTTGGATGGAGAGGAGTAATTATAAACAATTTGGTGGGAGGCACGATGAAAAATTTTGTTAGTTCTAAATATGGGAGATGCGATATAATATATTATTCTATATGTTTGCGTGTTTATTTATCATAAATTGTTATCTCTTAAAATATTTATTTAATTTACTATTTTCTTAAATCTGTGAACCGCCATTTGTTCTCTCTGTTTGTCGTTTTTCATCAGGCATGTCCGTTGTAGACATTTTTCAATGTATAAAAGTATAAATAAATAAATAAATGATAAGAAGTGGTTATGGACATCATTTCAAACAATTTCAATTTAACAATCCCACTACTTGTTATATTATAATTTACAAAGTTTTTTTTTAATAGATGATTAGTAATTATTAGTACTAAGTGTTATTATATATGTTATTATGTTTTTATATTATTAGTACCCGCACAGTGAATTAGTACTAAGTTATTTATTATATTTATACATTAGTACATATATGTGTACATGACGGACTTAATGCTAAAGCATTCTCTCCCAGTCAACCATAGGGAAGTGTCAGAATACTCGAATGCGGTACTAGTAAGTAGTAATATATATATATATATATATATATATATATATATATATATATATATATATATATATATATATATATATATATATATATATATATAACTATACTTACATATATAACATATACTATATTATACACGAAATTGAGAATAATATAAAGTACTTAAGTTAGGATATAATCAACCCAAGTACTAAATTCCATTTAAATTAATTCAGTGTTTTATGCTTGAAAGAATATAAAAAAAACATCCAGCCATACATACACACAAACTTTCGCATTTAGAATCTTAGTAAGCTTTGATTAGTTCAAGACTGTTACTTCTAACCAGTCTATACTGCTACCCCAAGTAGGGCAATAGCGTTATTCGGTAAATACAAACACGAAATTCACTAGCGGATTCGCGAGTGACTTACATTTAATAAATCATCATCATCTTCCTACCCTTATCCCAATGATTATTTGGGGTCGGCGTAATATGTTTTTATCCATATTACAAAAAGATTTGGCTTATAGTTTTACGACCGGCAGCCTGCTTGACGTCAACCCTCTTTGGGAATTTTTACATTTAACATAAATTTAACACAACATTTAATAAATATTAAATAAATATTTTTTACGACTTAGAATGTCACACAGACTGACGGTTCACAATTCCATACCCTGTAGTTTTATTGCCATACCTTCAAATTGAAACAGCCATGCAAGCGCAACTGCTTCACGGCAAAAACACGAGTGACACAACGGAAAGGATTGATACAGACTGTTAGCCTGCCTTTTCATTCTCACCTATCCTCCCTCACTGGTGCCCCGACAGCGTATACCGGTAGTGCAGGAGGGGTTATCGGTACATTATTAACTATTAAAAAAAAACACGAGTGAAACAGAAGTACCTATGAAATGACTTGTACAAAGTCTAGAAGTGCACAAATTAGACGAAGTGAAAACTTATGTGAGAGCGAACGTGAAGTGAGTTGCGAAACGAGAGCTAATGTTAACAGAATAACACAGCGGTTCAGATTAAACTTGTTACGAGTCGGCCGAGTTGGGAGACATTTTTCAGAACTTACATAATAATATAATAATTTATGCGCCTCCAAGTTGCCACAACTAGGGCCAACTCCTAAGGCCGGGATGTCGTTTTGGGAAATTGACTTGTTAATTATCTTCGTCGGGTATCCGTTGAACCCTCAAATTGATATATTAAATATTATGTATTTATTTAAATTTTATGTTAGACACTTTGTAAGAAGTTATATTAAAATATTTGAACTTTATTAAAAACGTATAAAGAACAGTTTTTTTTTTATGATAACCATATTACCGTGCTACTTGTTCATGTCTACAGCTGACGGTTACCGCTTTTCAACAGGTGGGCCAGGGGGAAAGAGATTGTTAGTGATGAGGTCTAATAACCCCATTGCTAGCGATATACCCTTTTAGGCCGAACTCCACCCGGTTCCCCCTGGAAACCATCATGGTTAATTTTTGTCGAATTCATCATGGTGGGCCGGGGGGAAAGGGATTGTTAGTAATGGAGACTGAGAATCTCATTGGTAGCAATATACCCAACCAGGTCGATCTCCTCGCGGTTCTCCCTGGAAACTATCATGGTTAATTCCTGATGAATTCATCACGATGAGCTAACTGGCCTGTTTTCATTCTCATCTATCACCCTTCACTGGTGCTCCGCCAGTGTATACCGATAGCGCGGGCGGGTGACCATTCCATTATCACCCATTAAAAAAAACAGCTGGTCCATCAACTTGATTGCTATTCTAAGTTTTATAAAAAAAATCTGTCTAAACTGATGAAATGAGGAATGTCTGAATTAGGAAAAATGATTTTTATTTTTTGTAATATATCAATTAGAAAATACTAATACAAATAAAGTCCTTCACTACAAAAACTGTATTATCAATAATTAACATGTATTTTATTTAAAAAAAAACCGTACGAAGCTGGTCTAAGTATACTAAGTAAATAACGAAAATATGCCGATCACGCGGAAGACGTCGCGGATAAAAGCTAGTTTCATCATAAACGTTAACCTGAAATATTTAGTAAACGTGCGGCATTTAGGGATTCCTTGAAAGAACATTTATTATTAATTATGCTAGTTATTTAATAAACGAAAACATGCAACGCGAAGTCTAGATATCGCGGCCCTAATGAAACATTCCATTCCACGAAAATTATTTAATAGGAGGAATTTGTATCAAATAATCTGAGACTATGTATATAGCTACATAAATATACATAATAAGTGATCTTAGCCGTATGGTCCCGGCATAGAATAGGTCATACCTTTATTTCCTGTGGATGTCGTTAGAAACGACTAAACATACATATGTAACGTGTATTTGAAATTGTTAACAATATAAGTATAAATAAAAAATTAATTTAAGAAAACAACTAAAATAAATATACCAAACATATCGACAGCATATATAGGCGTTTCACCACATTGTTACATAATTAGGCAAATTAAATCATTGAAACAATAAGAATAATTCTTTTTTAAATTTGGAATTTGGCTTGGATGCAAGTATTTGAGCCATTACATATTTTGGATTATAAATACTTATTTGCTCTAGGAATAAATAAGATGGCCAGCGTTGTCAACGATTGGGTTTTTTTTTTCACTATTTTAGGTAAACATTTTTGATATGAATTAAATTTGGGATAAATTAAATTGGAGTGGAGAAGTTGGAGTAATTTTTTTTTAATGTTCTAATACTTAGGAAACCGTAAAGCTGTATACTCCTCATATAATACCCATAAACGAAAGTCAGGTACCCAGAAGGGCTTTAATTTCTTCATTTGCGTATTGATTATATGGCAAAACATATTGAAAACTGACAAAAATTTTTAATTAGATAAATGTGAACGAATTTGTAGAAAACAATTTTAACATTTTGCTAAAAATAAAAAAATCACATCTGACAACCCTAAAAAAGTGGCTGGCTAGTGTATGCAAATTAATGATACTAATGGTACCAGAGAGAGATTTTGTACAAAAGTCATTTACTTGGGCATCTCTGTCCCATTTATGTTACGGCCGTGAAACAGTCGTGTTTGCATGACCGTTTTGGTATGAAGGGTGGGATATGGCAATAAAATTAAAGGGTAGAGAGACATAACACCTTAGTCCTCAGGAATGGCGACGGATGAAGGGTATCATAGATGACACATTATTCTTTATTATGTATTCTATATTATGTCCATGATACTGCTCATGTCTATAGGTAACGGTTACCACTTTCCATCAGGTGGACCGTCAGCCTGTTTCTATTCTAAATTGCATAAAAAAAATTATCTCTTCGATTGTATGGAATTGACTTTCTACAATAAGTGCCGACTTTAGAAAGTGGCACTGTCATCTTTTTATTTTTAATCTAACATACATATCGGAGCCGGGAAACCAGCAGGACGATATAGAACGCGGTGTGGGCATCTATTAAAGTGAATGATGACCATGTACGGGTTTCATTTCTTTGCATCGGAAATCCTTTTTCATATCATTTTATTTTTACAAAAATTCTCATCTCCCCTCTTAAGGAGAGGAGATGGCAAGTAACCCCCGACAGAAGCACAGTCGGCCGGGGTTCAGTGCCCCAGGGAGAGAAACCGGCGTACAATGCGGGCAGAATCTAAGAGCAACGCTTTCTGCATCATTCCCAGGAGTGAGCCGCCTCGGAATCCCAACCGTCTGAGATGTTGTTCCAGACTGGTTGGGATAAGACCTCTCACCAACAAAACCATTGGAATAATTTCAGTGGACGTCATCTCCCAAATTTCGGTCATCTCGTGAGCCAGGTCGAGATATCTTCTCTTTTTCTCAGTTTCGGCTTTCACGAGGTTCTCGTCATGCAGTATGGTGACATCCACTCAATAAATTAATAATAATAATTATTATTATTAATATGATTTTTTTTCGGTTTCTCTCCCTGGGACTCTGAACCCCGGCCGACTGTGCTTCTGCCGGGGGTTAGTTCGCCATCTCCTCTCCTTAAGAGGAGAGATGAGAATTTTTGTAATAAAATAATAATAAATCTTTATTTCACTCTTTATTACAACATAGTTTGAAGCCCCTAACTTCTGAGGTAGGTATGAAAAAACCTGTGTTTCAGGAGTTACTTACTGATAACAACATCAGTTGGCTCCACACTCTTCTTATTATTGTTGCTACTGTCCTCTCGGAGGGTCATCATCATCTCTATGAAGTCACTGCGCCTAACTTGCTCTCCTGCAAAATATATACACCAATAAATACCACTAGGTATTATAACACATTGCCATCTAGTACCAAATTAAACAGGCCTTTTACCAGAGGGAGACTTTGTACAAAAGTCGTTTTTTGGCCACCTCTGTCCCATTCGCGTTTACACCGTGAAGCAGTTGTGTTTACATGGCTGTGTTTCGGTTTCGAGGGTGTTCCGGCATAGAAAAACCACCCCTTTCTTTCCCGTGGGTGTTGAAGAGGCGACTAAGGGAAGGTGAAACATCTCTAAAGCCTAACTGCGGCTGCCAATCCGCCTGCCAAGTGTGGCAACTACTAGCAAAACCCTTCCAAGGGGGAGACTTATGTTTAGCAGTGGACAGTTAAAGGCTGATATGATGACACCCCACCCTTCAAATTGAAACAGCCATACCGAGCACTGCTTGATGGTAGAACGAGTGGGACAGATGTACCCAAGCTGACAATTGATTTACTTTACCCTGACCTTTCTCTCTGGATCTGAGCACGTTCACGATGAGCCCGTAGAAGTAGTTCTCCGTCTTCTTCGGTATAATCCTTATGCGAAAGAACATCGCAAATGCCGGCCATAATTGTTGGACGGTTCTGTAAGTATTACAATCAAATACGGTTTAAAAATATATTCCATTTCTATTTTTTTATGCAACTTAGAAAGGCAAACAAGCTGAAGGTAACCGTTGCCTATAGACATGAGCAGTATCATGGACATAATAAAGTATACTGTTTTGCCCATGATACCCCCCCCCCCATGTTGCCATTCCTGAGGACTCAGGTGTTATTCCTCTGTACCTTAAATTCACTGCTAAATTCACTGCCATATCTTTGAAATGCCCTTGAAATCGAAATATAACCATGCAAACACAACTGCTTCACGGTAGAAACACAAATGGGACAAAGGTGCTCAAGCACACGACTTTTGTACAGAGTCTCTATTTTAAAAACAAAAAGATACTTAAACTACATCTCGTTCAATAAAATTGACTCACAGGTTTTTAACAGTGAAATACATACATACATACATATCTGTCATGCCTGTCTCCCATTAGGGTAAGCAGAAACAATGGAACGCCAAATGCTTTGATTCAAACAAACCTCCTTCGCTTCTTCCACATTTATCAATCTTTTCATACACGCTCGCCGGTTACGGGTACTTTTAATTTGGCCCTTCTTCAGCACGTCGCCTATTTGGCCGACATACGTTCGTCTAGGCGGCCCCTACCGACATCTCCATTCATTCTTGCTCGATATATCTCTTTCGTAATTCTTCTTTCATCCATCCTCTCCAAATGACCAGTTTTTAACAGTGAAATTATCTTAGAAAACAATTATGATAAAAAAATAATAAATAATAACTATCTTAACTTATCGTAACATTCGAGCCGTGTGGTCCCGGCATAGAATGGGCCACCCCTTCCTATACCACGGGTATCGTAAAAGGCGACTAAGAGAACTTGATGGTTGAGGGATCCTCACAAAACATCACCATGCCTAACGGCAACTATTGACAAAACCATATGGGAGTGGCCTATGTTCAACAGTGGACAATTGACAACTAATATTATGATAATCTTAACACTTCCAAAATTCAAGTCAATTATTTAATTATACCTACAACGAGGACATTTATTTATTTAACTCTTTATTGCACCATAAACAAAAATATACAATGACAATTGAACAATTCAAGTGAAATACAGTAACATAAATACAGATTGAAATATACACATAAAGGTACAAAAGGCGGTCTCATCGCTAGGGCAATCTCTTACAGACAACATTTTTTACATTTTTGTAACACAGATGTGACAAAAAATATTTAAACTGAATAATATATTTGTAATTTATGTAAATATTTATTTTAGTTTCTGTTTTACACTACAGTACCTACTACTGCCCACTCACTACTTCCTATACCACTGTGTTAGGTTGACTGGAAGAAATCTCTTTTAGAGATAAGTTCGTCTTTACTAACTTTATTAACTTAACTGGGGGGAAAGGGATTGTTAGTAATAGAGACTGAGAATCCCATTGCTAGCAATATACCCAAGCACGTCGACCTCCTCGCGGTTCCCCCTACCATACCATTTTCACCCATCAAAAAAAAAACTTTATTAACTTCTTGTTATTACTGTATGTTTTATTACAATAAAGAATATATATATATATATATATATATATATATATATATATATATATATATATATATATATATATATATATATATATATATATATACTTACTTTTGAAAAATGTTGAATAGTGACATTTCATAAAAGGAGCGCAGCGCGACCGCCACAGGATGGTTCTCATTGTCCATCACATCGCTCTTGAAACCGAACGCGCACGGCACTATCGCATCAGCTGTGTACCCCTCGAAGAACCTCTGCCCGTTCACCAGGACAGAATTGTCTTCAGCTGTTCCTTGTTCACGTACAAAGTTCCCATTGCGATTGTCTTTGTTTAACATACTTTTTATTTTAATAACAAACTTGTCGGCTACTTTCTCAATGATTGGATACATTCCACGCAGTTTGTTAGGGCTGCAATATAATAATGCAAAATTTTAGTAACATATAATATGAATGCTTGTGAGGTGTATGGATGAAAGGATATTTCTTTACTAATAGATAATGGCACATGGATACACTATAATCCTAATTTAACACATAGGATATTTTATATAATGCTTCATGCGGGCGAGACCATGTAAGGTAGCTAGTACGAAGGTTAGGGTTGCCAACCCTGCCGGATTGCCCGAAAGACTCCGGAAATAATGGATAACCTCACGACCTTCCGAAGTGGCTAACGTTTCGCCACATAAGTTCATTAAATTTACGCGTGAATTTACTGGCTACGGAGGAATAACATCTGAGTCCTCAGAAATGGCAACGCATGGGGGTATCATACTCTATTATGTCCATGATACTGCTCATGTCTATAGGCGACGGTTACCACTTTTCATCAGGTGGGCCGTCAGCTTGTTTGCCATTCTAAGTTGTATAAAAAAAAAATTAAAAAAAAATCCCTTTATCCAGTTATATACAAAAACTTTTAAAAATTAACATAAATTTTAAAAATAAAACTTTGAAAGTGTTAATAGTAATTCGAATTTTAAAAGTTAATTCAAAATAATAAAGGACGGAAAACAATGTTATAAAATAAAGAGCTAGCTAACCTGAAGTGTAGAAAAACTTAATATCGTATGCATATTATTTAAAGAAATACATAACTTCCTTTGGGTATAGTAACAAAAACCATAGGTATTATTTATTTAATTATTAACTCTATTTATTTACAGATACGGTTTATTATTATATATACAGTATAATGTTCCCCATAACGGTTATAATTTACGAAATGTCATTTATAATAGCTCTATTCCGCGTCTTTGCTTGCGATAATCGGTAAACAAAGTACCCTATATATTAATTTAGAATATGGTCTATGTGCATTTAATATATGTATGTCTATGGGGAAGGCCCATGTCCAACAGTGGACAGATAATGGCTGAGATGACGATGATGATGATAGTCTTTGTGTATATAAAGTTTTATTAAAATACGTTGATCCGAAATTATAATCATTTATTATAAAGATATTTGGATATTTTTACTCAATCATGCTTAAACGGCTAAACGGATTCGAATGAAATTTGGTACACGAGTAGGCTATGTCATAACTTAACATATAGAATACTTTATATACTGATTTATGTAGGAAAAGTCACGGAATAGTATGTTACCACTAGTGAAGTCTATCAACATGTGGTCAATGCACGATTGGGACTTATTTCTTTTATATGTAAAAGGAATAAGTCAGATCCTCTATCAGATCCTAAAAAACCGTAACATTGAAGTAAATGCATAAATTCGTATAAATCCTCTTTTTTGTTAATTATTTTCCAAAATATTAATGTTAAAGTCAACGCAAATGACACACTTTTTATTGAAAAAAATAATACATTAGTTTATATTAACGTATGTTATGATAAAATAAATTATATCTTACGAAAATACGGGGGATATCTTAGCTCGAAGCCTCCTCCACTCGGCGCCCCTGAGGAAGACCAACGACTCGACCATCGGGTCCACGTCCTTGTGGTAATAGAAGCCTCTGTCTGTGAAGTGGTGGAAGTCGTTCACGCATATCCTCCTGATCAGCTCAGGGTCGTGGACTAGTAGGGTCCTCGCGAAGAACTGATGTATTCCTGCAATGGTCAATAATAAAAACAATGTAGATTATATCAACACATCAGCGTAGGAAAGGGATTATAAATAACTAACTGATTCCCGTGACTTTGCCCGCCTTGCCGAGTGGTCCCGCAATAGAGTGGGCTCTCCCTTCCTATCCAGTAAGTGGTGCCTCTGTCCCATTCGTGTTTCTACCGTGAAGCAGTTGTGTTTGCATGGCTGTGTTTCGATTTGAAGGGTGGGATATGGCGTGAATTTACTGGGTACAGAGGAATAACACCTGAGTCCTCAGGAATGGTAACTCATGGGGGGTATCATGGGCGAAACAGTATACTCTGTTATGTCCATGGTACTGCTCATGTCTATAGGCGACGGTTAGCACTTTCCATCAGGTGGGCCGTTAGCTTGTTTGCCATTCTAAGTTGTATAAAAAATAAATGTTTTCTTTAAGAGATAAACATATGCCATCACGGACTTTTCTGTAGACCTATATAAGACACACAATTTCACTATGCATTATTTTGTTATATCTCAAAGGGTTTAGGCAGCGTTTTCGTTGAAAGCTCCCAGACAGCGTATTTTTTTTCGACACCAACAAATATCGTTATATTATAGCCAATGTATAGAAAAACTTAACAAATCATATACTGAAACTTCCTCGAGAAGCATTCTATCTATTGAATGAAAAACAGCATGAAAATCGGTGCAGTAGTTTTTGAGTTTATCACGAACAGACAGACAGACAGATTATTAAGATTGTTTTTGAGTGTTTATCATAGACAAAGAAACCTACCATCTACGCGTTTTAATTTTAAAATGATTACATTGTTGTTTTATATATTTTGCTTTTTTTTTGTTGCTTTTTTAATGTCATTCTTTTTTTCTCTTTTACTGTGTATTTTTTTATGGGTGAAAATGGTATGGTAACCCCACCTTTTTTTTATTTTATTTTATAACAAGGGTGAATATTTTATAGTAACCCCGCCTGCGCTAACGGGATACGCTGGCGGAGCACCAGTGAAGGGTGATCGATGAGAATGAAAACAGGCCAGTTAGCCCATCATGATGAATTCATCAGGGATTGACCATGATAGTTTCCAGGGAGAACCGCGAGGAGGTCGAACTGGTTAGGTATATTGCTAGCAATGGGATTTTCAATCTTCATTACTAACAATCCCTTTCCCCCTTTTACTGTGTATTATGTGTATGTTTGTATTGCAATTTGTGTGCTGTAAGTAATGTAAATAAATTATCTATCTATCTATCTACAATTCAAACTCAAGAAGGTCTCAATTACAAATAATTAAAATACAATTCAAACTCAAAGTCCAAATGTCGATTGGCTTTCATTTTCTATTCAACTATTCATACAATTCACACAGTTTAGTGCGAAGTGCAACAATGCAGCGCAAAAACGAATGACTAGTAGAAACGACAGTTCGAAATTATATTTTCAGCACCACCATCTGAATACTAGAGTTTTACACTATATAGATAGGGCATCGAGTAATAAAAACAGGTCAAAATTCAGTCAGCCAAACGTTGTTTTATATCTTTTGCTTTTTGTTTTTTTTTTTTTGTTTTTCTTACTTTTTTTTCTCTTTTACTGTGTATTAAGTGTATGTTTGTATTATAATTTGTATGCTGTAAGTAATGTAAATAAATTATCCATCTATCTATCTACTTTGGCATATATTTCTTTAAACAAAAACAGAGCGCGCCATTTTTTTTTAATGTTGCAAATAATTAGACTATATTTTTTAGGCTAAGTAAATTTTTTAAATTTCGAATTAGGAATTATTTTTTTTTATATAATAAGAATATGCACGTGTAAATACTTCATACAAATTATTATAAGTTTATTAAGTAAAATACCGATCACTTACAACGATATTGAAAATAAAAGAACGTCTGTTTACATACAAACATATGTAAATCAAAATGATCAATAAAGATCGTATCTCACAAAAAACCGACTTCAATTGTAACAAAACAAATTATTTTGATCTTAAACTACTGCATCGATTTTGATAAAATTTCTGTGGGACAAATCTGTAAATATATTTTTATAGATAAAGAAAAAATTTTCCAAATTGCTGTACAACTGACTGAGTTATGAGGTAACAAATATAAAAAAATACAACCGAATTGATAACTTTCTTCTTTCTTCTTTGAAGTCGGTTGAAAATAAGCATCACTATGAATTACGCACTGTTTACTCTGCTCTTTCAAATATATTCGTAATAAAATTGTATCGTTTTCATTTTCCAATTTTACAATACATATTACTCCCCTATTTTTTTTATACAAGTTAGAATGGCAAACAAGCTGACTGCCCACCTGATGAAAAGTAGTAACTGTCGCCTATAGACATGAACAGTACCATGGACATAACAGATTATAATGTTTCGCACATGATACCCCCTATGCGTTGCCATTCCTGAGGACTCAGGTGTTATTCCTCTGTACCCAGTAAATTCACGCCATATCCCACCCTTCAAACCGAAACACAGCTATGCAAACACAACTGCTTCACGGTTGAAACACGAATGGGACAGAGGTACCCAAGCTATCGACTTTTGTACAATGTCTCCAAAATTCTGAGTAATTACGTACATTATGGCATCCCTATTCACGCATACATGGATAAAAAAATTGTCCTGTATTTGGCGAAGCACCTGTGTGGAGACTCTCCATCTATATAATCTAAGCCAACAATTTTCCAACACAATTCAGTCACAGAATTGCGTGTCAGACTTATCACCATTTGAACTGTGACGTGAATGTAAAATATTTTTCCCGGTTTTCGAAAGCTTTTATTCAAATTTTCCGTGAAAAACCTACGTCAAGGAGCGCCCTCCCGTGGGAAAACTATTTTTGTTAGCGGAATGAAAAGTAGCTCGCACCGCCTGTTGGGACAGAAACCAGAATGTGACGATGGTACGTAATCCTTGATAGTATTTAGAAGTTGGAGTGGTCGGGAAAAAAAAAACAAATATTTAAAAAATATTAAAAGAGTTTTGGGCGTTCTCCTTTTTGATGCAAAAAAAATACACTGAAAATTACAATAGTTTCTCTTATCTGTTATAAAAAACTATAAGTATATCCAATAGGTCGACACGTAGATTTTACTTTTAACAAAAAAGCGCGCCATTTTTTATTGTTACAGACATTAAAAAAGATCGCTGTAATAATACAAAATTTCTATTCATGGACAAACTGAAATATGTATTGTGTAATTTTATATATAGTATATTCTTAGATTATATTGATAGGGCATCGAGCCACAATAACGGATCAACTTTTTGTCAGCTAATTCTCAAATTACCCGATTCGTTTTTTTATCAATATTCTGTATACTAACGCATAAAATGTATATTGACGTATCATTTAATAAATAAAATAATTATTAATGCATTTTTTTTTATACAACTTAGAATGGCACACAAGCTGACGGCCCACCTGATGGAAAGTGGTAACCGTCGCCTATAGACATGAGCAGTACCATGGACATAACATAGTATACTGTTTCGCCCATGATGCCCCCCATGCGTTGCCATTCCTGAGGACTCAAGTGTTATTCCTTTGTACCCAGTAAATTAACGCCATATCCCACCCTTCAAACCGAAACATAGCCATACAAACACAGCTGCTTCATGGTTGAAACACGAATGGGACAGAGGTACCCAAGCAATCGACTTTTGTACAAAGTCTCCCTTTGACATTAAAAAGATTTAGAATTTATAAGACAAAATAAATATAAAAGTTACAAAGTAATCATTCATAACTGTTTATCACGCAAAATCGTATGAAAAAGTTGATCCGTTTTTTGTTCGAAGCATTTCTATGGAGACACTCTATCTATATACTCTAATAGTATATCATATAAGTCTTGAATTATGTACATATATTTCAGTCACGCCTGTCTCCAAAATGTCCAATCTCCAATTAGAGTAGGCAGAAACAATGGAACGCCAATTACATATATATTTCAACAATATTCTTTACTAGCTTATTTAGATACCAATAACAATTTACTAATACAAAAGATACCTTAGTTATTATTAAGTACATACTTAATACATTCAACGACATAATTCTAATAATCCTTTGTAATTCCTACGAATACGAACCGCTGACCCGTGGACCCAGTGAGCCGGTTTAATCGTGACTTAATTCGAGTTACAACCTACTGAATCATAATTAATTATGTTTAACTTTTTTTTTGTAATAATTCCAAATTTAAAATACAAATAGAGAAAAAAGTATTTTTAGATCGTCTATAGATCTGTATCGTAAAAATTTGTGATACATCGGCCAATAATGGCTATGTCTAATCTTTGTTTTTGTTTTAAGCTTACTAAATATTACTGGTTATTTCATTAGAATTATTATTTACTAAATATAAATTAATCTTTAATTATAAATTAGATTTATACGAGTATTTATTAATTTTAAATATATTTATTTATTTATTTGTCACCATTTCTATAATGACATTGTTAAAATTAAAATAAAAACATAAGTTATTCCTTCCTATGAGTTTACGCCAAAATTAGTCGTGTTAAAATTACATAATCTATATTTTTTTACCTTTTTTTATTTGACATGAACCATTTTTAATTTATCACTTTGCACAAGGTAAATAAGTAATCAATTTATACATCCATATTTATCAATTTATTTAAATGTACAAGAGAAGAAAATATTACTAAAATAGATAACTTACCTATAAATCTTTCATTTTTGTATGTATCGTAAAATCTCTTGAATAAGTTGCCTGTTTGCTCCTTGAAAGACAACAGAGGTCCAATGTGCCCAAGAAACGGCTGCGCCGGTGGTGAAAATACACCTCTGTCAACCCAGTAGTCATGATCATACGTTCCAAGTGTCAACAATATCATTAACGTGATTGTCACAGCCAAAATGCACCATACAACATAATTCCCGAAAGTCCAATATTTGAGAGCCCATGATAGAAGCACTACCGTTTGCACTAATGAACGTCTGAATCCAAACATTTTGATGTCATCTCAATCTAAAAAGTTTTGTAAACATATTTGTTTCAATACTAACACGAATTTTAATCACTGCACACAAAATTTTTGCTGAAAAATATTGCTAGCAAAATTATATTAATAGAGCACTGAACATGAATAATAACTTTATTAGAATATTCCATTTATTTTTATTATACACAATTTGGGTATTTATAGCCGACACGAATGGTTATTATTTGAATTTTTAAATTATATTTTTTAAGAACGTACACATTATGACAGCGTTCGGTCCACGCATGCGCGCCATGCCAAATAGCAAGCAAGCAATGATGCTGCAAAAGAGAAAGTGGGAGTAGGGCCAGAGACGGATGTATCTTGAGATTCGGACCTCGGACAACTGGCCGGTACATTGGTACTTATTGCAATCGCACTATTGTCCTACACATTTGCTACCGTATATATACTTTTTTTTAAACGATTTCAAAAAAAGGAAGTTCTCAATTCGGTTATATTTTTTTTATGTTTGTCACCACAAATCTCCGTCTGTTGCAAAGCGATTTGGAAATTTATATTTTTATCTGAAAAATCTACTAACAGACTTATCTCATAGAAATTTCATCAATCGATTTAATTTAGTTTAGTTTTTAAATCAAAATAATTGGTTTTGTCATAATTAATTTTTTTTTTGTCGAACACAATCTTTAATTTTTACACAAAAGAACTGATATCATTTAAAAAAAAAAGTATAATTTGCTCCGCATAATAAAGCGACGACAATCCTATACATTTATATGAATGAACAACGGAATGTTTTATAGATTGAATACATTGAAAAACATAAAATTTAGAGCGCGAAATTGCGTGTCTGCAAGTGCTTCGGAACAACCAGTTTTTTTGCTTCACGAACAAAAACGACATCTTGAACTGTTAAAGAATTAAAATGGAACAAATACGGGAGTAAATCTTATCGATATCCTTCTCTATTTCAAATATTACGTAAGGCCCACAATTGTATAACAACTAATCGAGCCATTTTGGCGCCAAGAGGAATTAAACACAAGTGATACAAAGTGAATGACACATTCACTTTGACAGTATGAATTTGACACATTCACAATAAATGTGTCATTCCAGACAAATTATCTTTTTGAAGACTAGGCAGCATGGTCTCCGACCTTAGCCTGTTCCAAAAGGAACAAACGTACTAAAAAAAAAAAAAAATAAATGTGTCAAATTTATAATATTACTATAATTAATATAAACTTATTAGTAGCTAGCTTTTACCCGCGACTTCGTCTGTATGACCCGGATATGTTTACTGACCAGGATAAAATGTAGCCTATAACCTTTTCCATCCTATAAAGGTAGCGTGTGTATATTAAATAGAATAGTGGTTGCTTAAGTCGTTAACACCACTATAAGGTAACAAACAAACACTGTGTTACACATTTAAAATATTATAGCAAGGACCACAGTCTAAAAAAATCTACCATACCAGTCGTTCAACGGACATATAAATGCATCCCGAATAGTCGGAACGTGATAAACATTGTTCCTTACGCTGTGATTTTAACTGAAACTCACGAATAAAAATTCTATTAATATAATTAATGGGAAAGTTTGTTACGATAGATGGATGGATGTTTGTTTCTCTTTCACGTAAAAACTTAGCATATAGGATACCTTATATACTGATTCTTTATGAATGATAATGGAATGGTAAACCCACCTGCGCTAACGGTATACGCTGGCGGGGCACCACTGAGAGATGATAGGTGAGCATTAAAAAGCATAACAGATCTGCTTTTTAATACTCATCCCATCCTGGTGAATACACCTGGAATTCAGCACGGCGGTTACCAAAAGGAACCACGAGGTTGATTTTTTTTTAATGGATAACAATGAAATGGTAACCCCGCCTTTGCTAACGGTATACACTGGCGGGGCACCAGTGAGGGATGATAGGCGAGGATGAAGTCAGGTTAGTTGGCCCCTCGCGATGAATTTGTCGACAATTAATCACGATAGTTTCCAGGTGGAACCGGGTGGAGGTCGACCTGACAGAGTATATTGCTAGCAATCAGACTGATAGTCTGCATTACTAACAATCCCTTCTCCTATATACTGATTCACACGGGTAAAACCACGTGGTACGGTTAGTTCTAAACATTCATACAAGAATATTAACAGCTTGTCTTGCCGCCACCGTGGGATTTCCCTACAAAACTGTCTGTACATATTGGCATAACTACACAATAGAACCAGTACTATTATGTAACCAGCCGTATGTCTGTCTGTCATCTTAACCTACATAACACATAAGTTCACTCTCTTTTTACGGGCATTTTAGTATTATGATTGAACTGTGATTACGCAGTCGATACTTGTGCCATTCTATTTTCCATCAAAAAGTATGTTTCTAAGTACTTATTATTTTATTACTATTTTATTATTATTATTAAATAATTAGAATAGAATAGAAAACATTTATTGTCAGTAAACACACAATTACAATATAAAATATAGGGGGGAAAGGGATTGTTAGCAATAGATTTTGACAGCTCCATTGCTAGCAATATGCCTTATTACGTCGACCTCCACGTGGTTCCCCCTGGAAACTATCGTGAACAATTCTTGTTGAATTCGTCACGATGGGCTAACTTACCTGCTTTCATCGTCACCTATCATCCTTCACTGGTGCCCCGCCGGTGTATACCGATAGCGCGGGTGGGGTTACCATTCCATTATCATCCATTTAAAAAAAATATATAAAATATAGATAACATATACAAAAAGTGAACCATGCAAGGCAAAAGGAACCGGCTCAGCTGATGCTGTGAGTGTCCCAGCACAATGTGTACAGCTGCACAGCGCTGGTTTTCAGTCAGTCGCTCTCTTAACAAAATATAACCCAAGTGCTAATTACTTATTATAGACTTTGTACAAAAGTCGATTGCTTGGGTACCTCTGTCCCATTCGTGTTTCAACCGTGAAGCAGTTGTGTTTGCGTGGCTGTGTTTCAGTTTGAAGGGTGGAATATGGCATGAATTTACTGAGTATGGAGGAATAACACCTAAGTCCTCAGGAATGGCAACGCATGGGGGGTATCATGGGCGAAACAGTATACTCTGTTATGTCCATGCTACTTCTCATGTCTACAGGCGACGGTTACCACTTTCTATCAGGTGGGCCGTCAGCTTGTTTGCCATTCTAAGTTGTATAAAAAAATGCGTAGATTTTCAAACTTCATATTCAGCCGACTTAAAAAAAGGTGGAGATTCTCAATTCGATTGTATTTTTTATGTTTGTCACCTCGTAACTAACTGACCACTCTTTGAAATCAACTTCCAGCAGCAGTATTTCCGAACCGATACGACATCATAACCTTCAAGAAAAGAGCATATTCCTTTTTAAAAGGCCGGCAGCACACCTGCAATGCCGTTGGTGTTGCGGGTACCATGGGCGGCGGTAGTCACTTACCATCAGGTGAGCCGCATGCTCGTTTGTCCCCTGTGTTATAAAAATAAAACTCCTTCAGTTGCATATCGATTTGGAAAATTATTTTTTATCTGATAAAATATTACAATTTGGCCCCATAGAAATTTTATCAAAATCAGTTCAGCAGTTTAGTTTTGTATCAAAATCCCTGATTTTGCCATAATTGAAGTCGATTTTTTGTATGGAATACAATTTTAATAATTTATTTAGTTATTAATTATTTATTTAGTTATTTATTTATTTAGTTATTATTATTTAGTTAGTTATTTATTATTTAGTTAGATATTTATTATTTATTTAGTTATTTATTTATTATTTATTTAGTTATTTATTTATTATTTAGTTAGTTATTTATTATTTATTTAGTTATTTATTTATTATTTAGTTAGGTATTTATTATTTATTTAGTTATTTATTTATTATTTAGTTATTTATTTATTATTTATTTAGTTATTTGTTATTTATTTATTTAACACTTTTTTTGTATAGGACTTGTTGAAGGATTGCTAACATTGTTATTAACTTGTTGTTATTGCTGTATGTTTTAGTGCAATAAAAAAAATATATAAGGATTTTCAATAAGCATAGTGTAGTACAAAAGGCGTTTATTATTTGTAATTTAAAGTTCATGAATACGAACGTTTGTTATGTATGGATTGAGATTAAATATTTTACTATCGTAAATAAGTAATATCTGGTGTGGGTATCAAACCCGCGGCCCTCAAATGCTGACACGACCTTCATCGTCAAGATGTAAACAAAACCTACGAGCTAGTGGAAAATTCGCTGAGATGCAGTTTATTTTTAAACGATACTTAATGAATATTGCCAAATATAGTTTGAAGTCAAGGCTGGTATGTATTTATTTTAATACAAGTTATGCTCGCGACTCTGTCCAAGTAAATTTAACACTAAACTCAACAGTTTAGAAAAATGTATTCCGTAACACACAGAAAGATAAGAAGGTTAAAAAAATTCATTTCGAATAATTAATCGATAACTACTCACATTCCCTGTGTGGTCCCGGCATAGAATAGGCCACCCCTTCCCTTTCCGTGGGTGTCGTAAGAGGCGACTCAGGGAGGGTGAGGGATGGGCACCAGCGTCCCTCTTGAAACATCTCCAAAGTCTACGGTTGCCAAGCAACTACTGGCAAAACCCCCTAGGGGGTGGCTTATGTTCAGCAGTGGAAAGTTAAAAGCTAAAAAGATGACATTACAGTTTTAAAAATAATCCATTTCTAGACACATTCTCTTCACTAATATATGTATATATATATATATATATATATATATATATATATATATATATATATATATATATATATATATATATATATATATATTATTAATTATTGCCATAACATAAACATTGACAGTAAATAGTAAATATATCAACAGTTATAATAAATTAACTGCAATCGTTATTTCTCAATCATATCTATGTTATGCAGGTCTAGGTTAATATATGCAAGAAAAATATATATAATTGTCTATTTACCTTTGAGAGAACGTTATTTTTATAAATGACCGACCACGTGATGGAAAGTGGTAACCGTCGCCTATAGACATGAGCAGTAGCATGGACGTAACAGAGTATACTGTTTCGCCCATGATACCCCCCATGAGTTACCATTCCTGAGGACTCAGATGTTATTCCTCTGTACCCAGTAAATTCACGTCATATCCCATCCTTCAAACCGAAACACAGCCATGCAAACACGACTGCTTAACGGTTGAAACACGAATTGGACAGAGGTACCCAAGCAATCGACTTTTGTACAAAGTCTCCCTCTGGTATGAGCGATGAGGTATTTTTCGGCATCAATGTCCAGAGAAACCCAATATAAATATAAAATATATAGATATCCATATTGTCCATACCTACCTATACTTTGTAATTTGATTAAAC